GAGGTCCAGGAGGACATCTCCATCGGGGAGTCTGTCTGTACCTACACTGCACAGGACCCTGACAAGGGGAGTCAGAAGATCAGGTATGCAGGAGCTGGGCTCACATTCAGCCAAATGCACTGGTACTGTTGGATGGGTTGTTTATTATGGCCAGCATTTGTTCTAATTACCATAAGTATTTTGAACGTCAGCCCTGCATAGGGGCTTCCCTTCCTGTCTTCCTCAAGGCTGAAAACTCTGAGCAAAGGTCTAGGGAGCAGGTATTCCCATTCCCTCTCATGTGTCCCTGCTGGGCCCCCGACCTGCTGCTCAGGCTTCCATTTAGGGGTGAGATGCATTTTCCATGTGATCCTGCTTAGGAACCCTGGGTCCCATGGCATCATCTGCCCATTGGCCTGAGGAGGCTTTTTTCCCTGCCTCCCCAAAGCCCTAGTACATAGTTGTATATTCTAGTTGTAAGTGCTTCTAGTTCTTCTGTGTGAGCCACCACCACAGCATGGCTACTGACAGATGAGTTGTGTGGTTCCAAACCTGGGCTGCCGAAGCAGAGCGCTTTGAACTTTAACCACTAGGCCATCAGGGCTGGCTCAGAGGAGGCTTTGAATGACAATATCAGAATTCTAAGTATTCTGGGTGTGACTCCTCCCAAATTTTCCACTCCAGCTACCACATTCTGAGAGACCCAGCAGGGTGGCTAGCAATGGACCCAGACAGTGGGCAGGTCACTGCTGCAGGGGTCTTGGACCGCGAGAATGAGTGGTTTGTGAAGAACAACATCTACGAAGTCATGGTCTTGGCCACGGATGATGGTGAGAGCTTCTTCCAGCCCCTCCATGTGGGCACCTTTGGAGCCCATGACATGGCACATCCTCTCCCCAGGCAGAGTATGGTGTGGGTAAGGGATGTCATTGAACTAATTTGGAGGGTCAAAGAGGTGTTTCAGAGGAGTCTTTTAAAGACTGGTCCAAGGGTTGGCTGGCCGTGATTCCAATTTCCCTAAGACCCAAAAGTTAGGAGATATCCTGAAGATTCCTTTCAGCCTAAGTTTATGGTTCACTGAGGCCTGAACTGGCCTGTTAGTTTCCCCTTGTGACTGATTGAAAGGGACTGCCTGGAAAGTGCCATGATTGATTAGTGATGTCACACCATGACAGGGTTGGAGGTTATGATGTGATTGCCATCTCTGCTTCACACATAGTGAACCAAGGCCTGGAGGCAGGTGAGAGGTTACCACAGGGCTGTGAAGGGGAGCTTCCCTGAAGCTGATCAGCAAACACTGCATCAGCCCTGAGGTGGCAAATAGGTTTCAATTTATGATAGATTGGTAGTGGCTGTCTGGATGAAGTGACTACGAATTAGCTAGGATCAATTAGTAATGTCTGCTATGGACACAAAATGAGAATGATGGCGTAGTTGCCATGTATTTACCATCACTGGTTTGCTCTATTATGAAGCGAAGGCATGGAGGGTCTTGAAAGGTTACAGCTGGGGAGTAAACAGGACCCTCCCGGAGGCTGATTGGGTAGGTCACAGGGGAGCTTAACATTGATTCATCAACCTGACCAAAGGCAGATGCTGAAAAGGGATTATATGTGTGATTATGAACAGGGAGCCCTCCCACCACTGGCACGGGGACCCTCCTGCTAACACTTCTGGATGTCAACGACCATGGCCCGGTCCCCGAGCCCCGACAGATCACCATCTGCAACCAAAGCCCTGTGCCCCAAGTACTGAACATCACAGACAAGGACCTGTCCCCCCACACCTCCCCTTTCCGGGCCCAGCTCACACATGACTCGGACATCTACTGGACGGCAGAGGTCAATGAGAAAGGTAACTGAGTGCGGTGGCAGGTGGGTGTCTGCCCCATACCAGAACCATTCCTGCCCCAGCATTTTGTGGGTCCAAGTTAACAGTTTCCTCAAGAATGTCAATTAGATGCTACTTATTAGCTTAATGTAAGCATTTGGAATTCCACGGGAGTCCTTAGAGACCATTCTAACCCAACCACCTTCCTGTACAGATGGAAAAACAGACCCAGAGAGAGAGGGTGTGACCTTCTCAATATCACATAATGAGAGAGTCAGGAGTCCAGCGCAGTGATGGTAGCTAACCTGCACTGAGCTTACTTACTATGTGCCAGACACCACTTCAGATGCTTTACATAGATTAGGTTGCTCAATCCTCACAACAACACTGTGAAGAAGATACTACTATCTCTCACATGCGCTCACGCGCCCATTTGACAGATGAGGAAACCAAGGCTTGCAGAAACGTAAATATCTTGCCAGAGGCATTACGACTGCAAGACGATGGCACTAGGATTTGAATCCAGGCAGTTTGAATAGGCAAGATGCTTTTTCTTTTCCTTATTTAATATTTCTACCACCCTCTATGGTCAGTATTTTTATTCCTATTTACAGATGAGAGTGAGACTCAGAGAGGTTAAGTAACATGCACAAGGGCACAGAGTGGGTAAGCAGTGGTACAGAAGTTGAAGCCAGAGTTCCTGTCCTCCTCACCCCTGCTCCCATCCACCTCCCTGTCCTTGTCCTTGTCCTTTCCCATCCCCTGCAGCTTCTCAGCCTCCACTGGATTTTTAGTTGTCACAGCACTCACGAGGAGTGTTACTGGCATCAAGTGGGTGAGAACCCACAGTGCATGAGAAGGACAGATCCAGCCCCAAGTGCCAATAAGGCCCCTGGAGAAACACTGCTCACTCTGATTTAAAATGCTCCCCCCCCCCCGCCCCGGGGCCGGCACAGTGGTACAGTGGTTAATTGCACACGTTCTACTTCGGCAGCCTGGGGTTCCCGGGTTCGGATCCCGGGTGCGGACATGGCACTGCTTGGCAAGCCGTGCTGTGGCAGGCATCCCACATATAAAGTAGAGGAAGATGGGCACAGATGTTAGCCCAGGGCCAGTCTTCCTCAGCAAAAAGAGGAGGATTGACAGCAGATGTTAGCTCAGGGCTAATCTTCATTCATAAATAAATAAATAAATAAATAGCTCAGCTCAGGGCTAATCTTCATTCATAAATAAATAAATAGATAAATAAATAAATAAATAAATAAAATAAAATGCTCCGCCTTCCCCTTGGGGCTAGGGTCCCTCAGGAGGGAAATGGGGAAACAGTGCATATAGTTTCTGCCCCAAAGAAATCAAATGCCCAGGGTCTATTACTGCTGCCGAGCCCAACCCAGAAAGGACTCAGGAGCCCTGCTTCAGACAGCCATGTTGTCTCATTTATTTGAGTCCTGTGATTTGGGTGTATATATTTAGCACCTTTCCTTTTTTTTTTTTTTAAGGAAGTTTAGCCCTGAGCTAACATCTGCCAATACTCCTCTTTTTGCTGAGGAAGATTGACCCTGAGCTAATATCTGTGCCCACCTTCCTCTACTTTATATGTGGGACACCTGCCACAGCATGGCTTGCCAAGCAGTGCGTAGTTCCACATCTGGGATCCAAACCAGCTAGCCCTGGGCTGCCGAATCAGAGTGCACAAACTTAACCACTGTGCTACTGGGCTGACCCAGCACCTTTCCTTTGGGGAGCCCAAGTTGGTCTCCTGTCACCCCCTTGTGGCCTGGAAGCCATTTTTTTCCTGCCTGCCCACATCATTTACAGAGCATGGACTCTGGAGCCGGAATGTCTTGGTTCAAGACCCAGCTTCTCCATTTACTAGCTTTGTGATTGTGGGCAAGTTACTGAACCTCACTGTTCCTCAGTTTCCCTGTCTGTAGAATGGTGCCAATAATTGCACCCACTTCCATACAGCTACCGTGAAGACTGAGTACATGCTAGGTATCTTGTGTGGGATACCCGTGCTCGGTAGATGCGAGTAGCCATCTTCACCTCCGCTGTCCCCCAGCCACAGTCCCGGAGCTGGCTCCGTCAAGTGTAAGCGTTATAGCCAAAGCCCAATGGTACTGACACATGATAGTAGTATTGATACCTGGTTCTGGGTTTTAATTTAGTTTTTCTATCTGACCATGTCCTGTTGTCAGGGGAATTGGTCCAAACTCTCCCCTCTATGCCCTCAGGCTGTTACTTGACCTCCCTAAGTCTCAGTGCTGCATTTGTAAAATGGGGATAACAGGACCTGCCTCTTCAGGTTGTGGTGAAGGTCAGAGGAGGGCTTGGTCCATAGTAAGTATCAGTGTAGTCACCGCTGCGCCCGGCACCACCATCATCATCCTCAGCTGAGAAATCAGTCCCTAGCATGACAACAGGAGGTGGTATGGACGTTCTGGTGAAATGCACCGTGTTGGCCTCTCCACATGGTAGACCAAATATTCGGCCTGCAGAAGTGTCTCTGCCTGCCGTTGCTGAATGCGACAGCGTGAAATCTCCCTTCTGGCCTTTTTACTGAGAGGGGCCCAGTGAGTGTGCAGAACCTTCGAACTGAAAATGGCTTGAGATCAGTGCTGAAATAGGCCGACAGGCCTGGGAGTGGGTGGGCTAGAAACGTAGGGTGGTTTTTATTGTCCCAGTGGTTGGGGGACGCTACTGACATTTAGTGGTGAGATCTGTAATGCTTGGGAAGGTCCTGCATGATGAAAAATAGTTCCACCCAAGTGAAGAGCTCCCTCCTTGAGAAACTTGGGTCTAAACTGAAGGCCTTTTTTCAGGGGCCCCCGACCCTGTATTCCTCACCAACCAGCATAGCCCTCCCCGCTGCCCCAGGATTGCCACACAGTCTCCCCAGAGTGCTGTCCATTGGGCAGGCCCCCCTGAGGCTTGGCTTCTGCTCTGTGGTTAGCCTGCCACCCACCCTAGGTCTTTGAAAGGTCAGTTAGCACCGTGCCCATTGCAGCCTCATTTCCAGCATCCCTGAACTTGTGTGCGGTCACTAAGGCTGTAATAACACCAGTTGGCATCCTCTCTGATCCACTTAACGACATCAGTTATATCACCAAGTCATGCGCATTTGGATTTATTAGTAATTAATGCTCACTCAGAAATATTAGTGTTTCAGATATTGAAATTCTGTCATACGGTTGAGGTATAAACATTATATTTACTATTGCAAGAGCAAAATGCTACAATAATAAGTGGTAGTGAACTTTCAAATAGGAAAACAGGTGGCCAGTTAATGTGACTATTAAAAGATTGGGCTAGCTATCTCTTAGAATGAACAGTGTATTCTTTTTGAGGCAAAGCACAGTCTAGCAGCTAATGGTACTGAGAAATTATTGGCCCCCCATGACATGACTTTTTTTAAAACCCCATATTTTAAGAATACTGTGATTTATTGATTTTTTTTAAAAAATAAAATGATGAATTTATTCTTCTATCACAATAATCCTTTCCATGATGGTGAGTTTGGCTTTGGCTAAAATCCGCTTTTACGCTTGGTGTAAGTGTGCCGTTGGACGTTTCCCCGTTGCCTGGATGCAGAGGCTGTCTCCTCAAACCTCGGTCACGGCATAGCTGGTTCCCACCGTTTGCGGTCTCCCAAGGTGAATAAATTATCTGCCCATTCCAGGAGACACAGTGGCCTTGTCCCTGAAGAAGTTTCTGAAGCAAGACACATATGATGTGCACCTTTCTCTGTCCGACCATGGCAACAAGGAGCAGCTGACAGTGATCAGGGCCACCGTGTGTGACTGCCATGGCCACGTGGAGAAATGCCCCGAACCCTGGAAGGGGGGTTTCCTCCTCCCCATCCTGGGGGCTGTCTTGGCTCTGCTGCGTGAGTACCAGCACCCTTCCCCTCTGCTTAGGGTGGTCAGAAGATCTGAATCTACCATGAACTTCTGGGACTAAGGGGCCACCAATATTGTCCATCTGTTCCTTATACTCTCAAATCAATAGATGTTTTTGGAGCTTCTGGAATGTGCCAGGCTTGGGGGATGAGTGGTGAGCAGACAGACTTGGGCCTGCCACCATGCCATCTAGAGGCTAGAACAGTGGGTCAGAACTGTGGTCTCCAAACCGACACCATTAGCATTACCAGGAATTTGTTAGAAAGGCCAATTCTCAGGCCCACTCCTGAGCTGATTCAGAAACTTAGGGGTAAGACTCAGTAATCTGTGTTTTTAACGAGCCCTCCAGGAGGTTCTGATACAAGCTAGAGTTTGAGAGCCACTGGTCTAGTGGGCAGAAGTGTTTAGTTAAAAGCTAATTTCTTAAAAGCTAATTTCTTAAAAGCTCTAATGGTAGAAGCTATCACATTTGCCTTTTCCACTCTCTGAATTGGTCCTTACACACAAAACACTCATTCAATCAGATATGAATACAAGAGCAATGTACTGTGCACTGAGCACTGTTTTAGGCAGTGGGGGTACAGCACTTAACAGACCAATCCCTGCCCTCATGGTGCTTACTTTCCAGTGCAGAGAGCAGACAACAAATAATCTGGCACAGAAATAGGTGTTGCTATGGAGAAAAAGGAGGAGGTCTGCTATTTCAAGTAGGATGGGCAACAAAGGTCTTGCCAAGAAGGGGATATTGCAGTAAAGACCTGAAAGAGGAGAGCAGGCAAGTCATATAGTTGTCTTGAGGACAGCAAGTGCAAAGGCCCTGAGGCAGCACTGTGCTTGGTGTGTGGAAACAGCAATGGCTGGAGTGGGAAAAGAGTAGGAGATGAGGTCAGAGAGAGGATGGTGTGGCATAGCATCATGTTGGGCCTTGTAGGCTATTGTAAGGACTCTGGGTGAAAAGAGAAGTCATCAGAAGGTTTGGAGCAGAGGAGTGATGTGATTTGACTTGAATTTTAAAAGATTGCTACTGACCAGACTGTCGAGGGACAAGGGTGGAGACAGGAAGACCATTAGGAGCGATTGCCATAATCTAGGGGTGAGGTGGTTGGTGGCTCAGACCAGGATAGCTGAGGTGCTAAGGTGGTCATATTTCAAGATAGAATCAATTCAGATTCATATGTGGTATGAGGAAAAAAGCCATTGATGATTCTAAGGCGTGAACAACTAGAAATATAGCATTTCCGTTAACCAGTTTGGGAAAGACCATGGGAAGAGATTGGCCTGGCAGTCCAAATGGAGATATCAGTAGGCGGTTAGGCATTTAAGCTTTGGATACAGGTGAGAAGTCCAGTTCACCTCTTATCTTTCCCCAGACCCAGTGTGGGGTGAGGGGAAGGGGAGGGAGAGATCACATCTAGCCCACATAGTGTGTGCATCCTAAGAACCCATGGATTCCCAAAGAAGGCTAGAGAGAGACAGTGCCTCCATCAGCAGGCCAAAAACGTGATAAGCTCAATAGTTGGCTGTATCCTCTTAGACTAGACAGCCACAGAGACGGCCAGGGGTACCCTCTTCCTATGGGATTAAGTGGGGGTAGTCATGGCAGGTAAGGAGAGCAGCCAGGCATTAGTTGGCCAGTCCCCCCATGTCCAAATAGGCTGCCAGCTTTCAGACCATATCACTAAAAGCCAGTACTTCTGTTAAAATTCCCAAACAGCATTTGGACCTAAGTTCAAATCACTGCACCGTAGCAAAGTTGCACTGTCTCGCTTTTAACTTAAAAGTCTGTGGCTCATTTAGGGGACCCCTGGGGACTGGAAAAGAGTCTTGTTGAAAAGTAACATCTGCTGGGAGATTCCCATGCCCACAAAGGAAGATTTCTTTAAGGACTAGTACCACCAATATGGGAAGACAGATGATAAGTGATAGAGAATTATGGGTCGGGGAATGAAATCAGAACGCTGGTAGGAGGTGGTGATGCTAACCTGAAGGGTGAGAGCCATGCGTGTACATGGAGAGCATTTCAGGTGAGGAAAGAATCCAGATGAAGGTTCTGAAGTGGGAAACTGCTAGGTATATTTGAGGAACTCCGAGGAGGCCAGTGTGACTAGACCTGGGCATGGCGCCTGGCAGAGCCACATCCCGTGTGCCTCGAGAAGGAGTTGGGGGTTTTCCTAGATGCAAGGGAGCCACGGAAGTGTGGTAAGCTCTGGCTACTGAGTGGTGGGGTCTAGAATTAGATGGGGCTCTGTGGGTTTGAGGGTCCTGGCCAGCCATGTGGTTGTGGGGTGAGTATTCACACTCCCCAACTCTTCCAGTCCTCCTGCTGGTGCTCCTCTTGTTGGTGAGAAAAAAGCGGAAGATCAAGGAGCCCCTTCTGCTTCCAGAAGATGACACCCGTGACAACGTCTTCTACTATGGTGAAGAGGGAGGTGGCGAGGAGGACCAGGTGTGGCTTTGGGAGGTCTGGGGGATGGGAGATGGGTGCCCCCAGGGCCACTGGCAGGGGTGGTTGGGTCAACCAACTAACCGTGTTAGCTCCATTGACCAGACCCTGGCCTGAAGCATCATTCTTCATATAGAAGCGACCACCAGCTCTCCTCTTCTGAGAGGCTGTCTGGTCCGTTACCGTAGGCTCTTTGGCCGCAGCCAAGGTGACCTTGAGCCTGTGCCTTATTGGGAGGAGGGGATGTGGAAACTAGGGCTTTCAGACATCTCTGACATTACCCACGAACCAGAACATCCAAATGGTAGGCTAGGGGGGTGAGAATGTAAATGTAGGGGAGTGGGAGGTCCTCTGAAACCCATGTTCTCCTTCACTCTCATGAAGGACTACGACATCACCCAACTCCACCGGGGTCTGGAGGCCCGGCCTGAGGTGATTCTCCGCAACGATGTGGCACCTACCTTCATCCCCACACCCATGTACCGTCCACGTCCAGCCAACCCTGATGAAATCGGCAACTTCATCATCGAGGTGAGGCATGAGGGGCCAGCCTAGGGCAGCCCTTTGTCCAAGCACCAGCAGCACAGGAGAAAGAGCGTGGGCTTGGAGTCTTGGCTCTGTGTTCAAATCCTGACTCCACCGCCAATCAGCTGTGTGACCTCTGGCACATTTGAGTAACTTCTGGGCTTCTGTTTCCTCTTCCATAAAACCCTAACTTGCAGAGGGTAAAGAATAGATTAGGAATAATTTATTTATTCAACAAATATAGGGGTTATTAGGAAAAAACTCTAGAGCCAGAGCTAGACAACCTGGGTTTGATTTTTTTTTTTTTTTTTTTTTTGAGGAAGATTAGCCCTGAGCTAACTACTGCCAATCCTCTTCTTTTTGCCAAGGAATACTGACTGGCCCTGAGCTAACATCCATGCCCATCTTCCTCTGCTTTATATGTGAGACGCCCACCACAGCATGGCTTGCCAAGTGGTGCCATGTCTGCACCTGGGATCCAAACCGATGAACCCTGGGCCGCCGAGAAGCGGAACATGCACACTTAACCACTGTGCCACCGGGCCAGCCCCTGGGTTTGAATTTTTAAAGATCCAAGGTGATTCCAGTGGAGCCAAGTTTGGGCCCCTCTGTTGCAGGCTGCTTTAAGGGCTGGATGAATAAGCACCAGCAACAGCACTAGCACAGTGGTTCCCAACGTGCCTGCACATTGGAGTCTCCTGGAGAACTTCAAAAACTGCTGGTGCCTCTGAGTCACCCCCTAAGATTATGATGTAATTAATCTGGATGTGGCCTGGGCTTTGGAATTTCTTTAAAGATTTCCAGGTAATTTAAGTTTGGGAACCATTTGCCTGGCACCCAGCATTTATTAGGTAATGACAGCTATTGTTGCTAATAGCTGAGTGTCTCCAGTGTTCTTTTTTATTTTTTTAAGATTTTATTTTTCCTTTTTCTCCCAAAGCCCCCCCATACATAGTTGTGTATTTTTAGTTGTGGCATGTGGGATGCCTCCTCAGCATGGCTTGACAAGCAGTGCCATGTCCACACCCAGGATCCAAATCGGTGAAACCCTGGGCTGCCGAAGCAGAGTGCATGAACCTAGCCACAGGGCCGGCCTCCTCTCCAGTGTTCTTAACTCTGGTCACACATTTGATTTATCTGAGGAATTCTGAAAAATATCAGTGCCTGGAATCCAGGCATCTGTTTTTTTAGGCTCTAATCTTTTTTTTAGCTCTGTGTGGAAATCAGATATACAGCCAGGGTTGTGAGAACCCCTGGACTGGGTGCGTAGGAGATACAGGATATGAGCCTAGCACAGCTGAAACCTTGTTAGCAATCAGTAAATGAGCCTTTTAGTAAGAAGGGAGGAAGGAAGGATGGATAGATGGGGGATGGGGGATGGGGGAGTGCAAGGAAGCAGCAGTGGGCAGAGGGCTCAATGGGCAGCCAGGCAACCTCACCTTGGCTCGAACCCTTCTGCCTCAGTCTTCTCTTTTGCAAAAAGGGAAACTAAATAGTTTACCCTTCTTGCCTTCTAGAAATGGCCTGATGGTGAGACTCTTTTCTAGCCTGAGCGTGTTTGAGAGTGCTGTGGAAAATCAAAAGCACCTGGGGAACGTTGCTCAGGGTAGCTGGTTTGAGAAGCCGGGATTGCAGCCAAATACCTGGAGCTTTTCCCTCCCGTTAAATGAAGGCAGTTTCCAGAACGTGTGTCAGATAGTTTGCAAATACTGTCGCATTTAATCCCACATCAGCTCTGCAGGGTGGGAATCCTATTGTTATCCTTATTTTACAAATGAGGAAATAGTATTTCACTCTATGCCAGGTACTACTCTGATAAGTGCTTTGCATATATTCCTTTATTCTGCTAAAACTATATAAAGGCCCCCTATTTTTAAGGGTTTTTGTTTTTTCTCCCCAAAGCCCCAGTACATAGTTGTATATCCTAGTTGTAGGTCATTCTAGCTCTGCTATGTGGGACGCTGCCACAGCATGGCTTGATGAGCAGTGTGTGGGTCCATGCCCAGGATCAGAATTGGCCGACCCCTTGTTCTCCATTTTAGAGACAAGGCAAAAACAGCACAGAGAGGTTAAGGGACTTGCCCGAGGTCACGTACTAGTGTGTGAAGTCTGAGCTCTGACTCAAGTCATCTGATTTCAGAGTCCCTGCCCTTAACCGCAGGTCTTCTGCCCTGAGCACTTGCTGTATGCTGGGCCCTGAGTATTTATAGGCATGATTTCATCTCAACCGTCAAAGCTTTGAGGAGGAGATGCAGGCTCAGCAAGGTGAACTAAGTCGGTTGGCTGAGCTCTCGCAGCTGCCAGGGGTCTGATCCCGCTGCTCCTCACCCCCTGCTCTCTGTCGCCACAGAACCTGAAGGCGGCTAACACGGACCCCACGGCCCCGCCCTACGACTCTCTGTTGGTGTTCGACTACGAGGGCAGTGGCTCTGACGCCGCCTCCCTGAGCTCCCTCACCTCCTCGGCCTCGGACCAGGACCAAGACTATGACTATCTGAACGAGTGGGGCAGCCGCTTCAAGAAGCTGGCGGACATGTACGGTGGTGGCCAGGACGACTAGGCCTCCCTGCCAGCAGGCCAGGGACTAAACGTCAGGCCGCAGCTGCATCTCCAGGGGTCTCAGTCCCCACCGCGGCCAAGGACTCTGGAACGTGTTGAGAAGTGGCCTTAGCGACTTGGAGGGAAGAGGCCTCGAGGCTGACATTAGTATGGGGGTTGGTTTCTAAGCCTTTGAGAATGGAGGCACACGGGCAGTTTGCCCTCAGCACTGACCACCTCTCGGCCTAGGCCGGGGTGGCCTCGGAGGCGAATTTCCGGGAGCCTCTCCCCTGCCGTAAAATGCTCAGCCCTGTGTCCTGGGCCTGGACTGCCTCTGATGCCCCCGTGATGACCTTCTTTCTGGAATGGACCCTTCTCCTTAGAAAGAGGCCTCTCATTGCAACCTGGATTTTTTTTTTTTAATGCTATTTTCAAAAAGTTAGAGGCGGGTCCTCAGCCATCCCCTGGAGTCCTCCAGAAGCCCAGGACAGAGCTGCTTGGCTCGCTGCATTTCTCTCTGATCTCCGGGCCCCGAGGCCTCCTGTTTGAGTGGATCACTGCGTTTTTATACTGAGCGCGTCTAGGTTGTCCTTTATTTTTTATTTTCCCTATCGAGTGCTGTAGATGAAGGGTGATGACAATCGTGTAAATGTACTAGAACTTTTTTATTAAAGGAACTTTTCCCAGAGGTGCCAGGGGAGTGAACTCTTTTTTTTTTATAGCATCTTTATCAACATGTAATTCACACACCATACCATTCACCCATTTCAAGTGTACAATTCAATAGTTTTTAGAATTTTCAGTGCTGTTCTAGGGGAGTGAGTGAGCGTGTGCTTTTAACCCTGCCGGCTTCCCCCCAGCTTCCTCCTGATGGGATGGTTGACGTGCGCAAATGGGGCACACCTGCCCTCCTCCCGCCGTATTCAGAGTTGCTGGTCTGTGTGAGGGAACCATTCACCTCCCCACCGCCGGGCTGAGCCCCACCAGAGCTGCGGCGACGTCTTTTCTGTGCTCTCACGTGGGGCAGAACGTGAAGATTTCTCTTCTGTGCTGTGGGCTCGATGCTTGGGGAGGATCCGACTCATCTACTTCCTAGCAAGTCTCTTACCCTCTACCTGCCTCGGATTTTTCATGTGTAACATGGGGAGTTTTTATGGAGATAAAGTGAATTAATATCCGGCACACAGTAGGTGTTATTTGTGTTCATTGGTGACAGCTACCATTTATGCAGTACTTTCTAGGCCCGGACAGCTCTTAACTTCAATGATTTCCTTTAAACAAATCCTCACGATCACCCTCTGAGGGGCTTTTCCTCCTTTAAAGAATGGCCTCAGTGTATTTTTTTTTAAATGACACCTGATCATCATCAAAATCAAGCCAGACAGAAAATTAGAGAACTCACCCGGGATGTCACTGAAATTGGAACATTCCTCACAATACCAGGGCACAGATGCAGGAAGAAGGATGAAGAGGCAGCAAGCATAGGGCAATTCCATGTGTGCCTTTGTTAAAGCGAAGTTTAAAATTTTTCTTCGCAATAGACGTGAAGAATCTAACTCGAAGCTGAAAGGATTGCTGACGTTGAACTCAGTGTTTCCATCCTGCGAGAGTGAGTCATCCTTTACAGCTGGTACTCAGAGTCCAGTCCCTGGACCGGCAGCATCAGCATCAGCATCACCTGCCGGATCAGACCCTGCAGGCAGGGCCCTGCAGTCTGTTTTAACGAGCTTCCAGGTGATGCTGATGCACATGCAGGTTTGAGGCTCTGAAGGATGAAGCGGAGGGCGTCTGGAAGCCTCAGACCCTGGATGGGGAAGTCAGACGGTAACTAAGTCGGGTAAGAAATCTCCTCACCTGTCCTTGGTCCGCAGCCTCTTAGCCCACAGTCAAAGCCGCCTCCCGCCTCTTCCTAGAGCTGCTCCCCTGGCTCCTGCGGCCTCATGTCTCCCGCTACCAGGGCCCTGCTGCTCTTGCTGATAAGGTTGTGCGGGAGGATTAGGTGTCTCAACCAGCCAACACCTGCTGCCCCTTATCTTAAACTCCTCTCTGAGGAGCCTGCAACCCTATCTTCGGCCGAGGCTAATAATAAAACCAAACAGCTACTGTGCAGGCTGGCCTTCCTCCCCTGAGATTTTTCGAGGGAGTTGAGGAGGAAAAGGAGCCTTTCCTAGCCAAGCCTGGTCTCTGGATGGATCTAGATTCCCTTGGCAATGGCACCAGTCACCGGCCTCTGAGTGATTTGGAAGAAGGAGCCTGGGCTCTGTGAGGCGGAAGGATATCACGTCTCTCACTCAGGGCCTGCTTCTCACCTGAACTATAAATCTTAGGATGTGGTCTTTTGTTTTTTTTTTCAACTTCTTATTTACTTATTTTTGAGGAAGATTAGCCCTGAACTAACATCTGCCACCAATCCTCCTCTTTTTTGCTGAGGAAGACTGGCCCTGAGCTAACATCCGTGCCCATTCTCCTCTACTTTACATGTGGGATGCCTACCACAGCATGGTGTGCCAAGCAGTGCCATGTCTGCACCTGGGATCCGAACTGGCACACCCCGGGCCGCTGAAGCGGAACATGCAAACTTAACCACTGCACCAACGGGCCGGCCCCAGGATCTGGTCTTTAGGGCCTATAACACGAAGTCACAATATTTGCAGCTGGTAAATAGTCACCAGTGCTAACCACTCAGAGTGGGTGCTAACTGTAAATAACCAGTTCGTCTAGTCATACCAACAGGGACCACCTGAATGTTTGACTTCGCGTACCCTGAATGTTAATCCTTCACATTTTGTGATTCAGGGGTTGGATTATTTCCTTCTGATCTTTGTTTTCCCCCATGCAGTACATACACATGTTGCATTATATCTTTTCATAACAGGACATACAAGGAGGTTGCCTTATTGTCTCCAACACATCCAGTTTTGATGTTAGCATTTATTTAATCTTACCGCCATCCGTGGACATTAGTGATTGTAGTTTTTTGCCCTCAACAACGTTAAACTCCCTGGAGCATCCATCTCTGCAGGTGCTTGAAAGCCGGTCCTCCAACAACTGGGGAGGGCGCGGGGCCTGTGGTCCTGGTTGGGATCAAGGCTGCCTGAGTCTGAGTGGAAGGTTCTGTCTCGGATGACAGGTTGGTGCTGAAAGGACCTTGGGCTTATTCTATTAAATGATTTTTTTTCCCCAGACTTTTAAAAGCTGAAGCCCCAGAACCCAAATCCAACAAAAAAGGTAATCAAAGTGAGACTTTGGGGGCTGGCCCGGTGGCACATCGGTTAAGGGCGCACGTTCTGCTTTGACGGCCTGGGATTCGCTGGTTCAGATCCCGGGCGGGGACATGGCACTGCTTGGCAAGCCATGCTGTGGCAGGTGTCACACATATAAAATAGAGGAAGATGGGCACGGATGTTAGCTCAGGGTCAGTCTTCCTCAGCAAAAAGAGGGGGATTGGCGGCAGATGTTAGCTCAGTGCTAATCTTCCAAAAAATAAATAAATAAAAAGTGAGACTTTGTTGGAAGGAGGGGTTGGGGTGCTCAGAGACCCCTCTTGGCCTCCCCTTCCCAATGTTTCTCCTTAAGAACCCCTAAATGCAGAGCATTTTGAAAGTTGCCCCCTGTCCACCTCTGTCATTTTTCAGGTGGAAGGAGATTCTGGAAGCAGGCACCGGCCGAGATCTCTGCAGCGGGGCAGAGACGGGCAGAGCCCAGGCCTCGCTTCACACCAGGCCTTTTCCCTTGTGGCTGGTCTGACAATCTTTTTTCCCTCCTAAAGAGGCTGCAAATAGAACCTGTCTCTTCAGGTGGGCTTTGCCCAGGCCCTCGAGGGGCCTGAGGGAGATGGCTCTCATCCCCGCAAGGTGGGCAAGGAGCTGAGGCCTCAAATTCCTGGCTCCCTGTGTTAGGCTGGACCTTCCTTAACCACGGGTCACACGGGGACACAGCAAGAAGACCCAGGCAGGGAAACACTGAGGGATGGCCAGTCAGGCAGGGAGCCCTGAGGTCAACCATGCGATAGGCCTGCCATTGAAAAGGTGGGGGTGGTCACCCTGGGAAGCCCCTTCAGCAGCCCACACCCCAGATGTCCAGTTCCAGACTCACTGGGGAACTCCATGGGGCCAGCTGCCTTTTGACTAAAGGCAGAGCCTGCCTCCCACTAAAATCCACCGAGGAGGCATGGTTCCAGGGCACAGGTTCAAATCCCAGCACTTCCAGGCGTGACGCCTTAGACAAATCACTTGACCTTTCTGTGCCTCAACTTTCTCATCTGGAAAATGGAGGAGTAAATGAGTTAGTATCTGTCAAGTGCTTAGAAGGCTTCCTGGCATACGAGTGCTGCGTAAGTGTTGTTGTCACTACTCCTGTGGTTGTTGAGGGACTGACAGGGCCAGTTACTGCCCCTTTATCTCCACACTCACAACATGGGTGGAAACTGCCCTTCCCACCTAAGCCAGACATTCCTAGGCTGCAGAAAGCCACTGCGGTGGCCCGAGCGGCTGTGGTTTCCCTGATGGCCCTTCCCCTCGCACCCGGCAGAGGGCACCATTCACCTGAACCACGGCATGGCCCGCCCCACGAAGTCTGCAGGAAGGGAGGGAACCCGAGGGCAGAACAGTCACACTGGCTGCCACATACCTTGTACCTTGTCTGGGAGTCTGCTGTGGGCCAGGAACTGCCTCAGGCACTTTGGCGATGACAGTGATGGTGAGAGTGGCAGTGGTGGCAGCAGTGGTCAATACTTACTGGGCAATGACTGGCCATGCGCTTCACATGCATGGAGTCAGTTACACGAATTCTCCCACCTACAACCATGGGGAGGGAGGTTTTATGGTTCTCTTTTTTAAAGGAAATTGAGGGTCAGAGAGATTAATGACCACACATAGCCAGGAATTGACAGTTTTGGGGTCCCGGTCTCCTTGATTCCCAAATATGGGCTCTTTCTGCTGTCAAGAATGAAAAACTCCACTTATGAAGGGGGAGGGGGGGCAGGCAGGCAGGTGGTGGAAGAGGGTCTTCAGTCCCCCCACCCCTCCCACGGCAGAGTTGGGCCCCACCCAACGCTGAGACTCTGAGGCCCTGACACAGGAGAGCCACACGTTTCCAACCACTTCTGGGGGCCCGTTGAGCATATGGGGCATCGCCCCAGGGTTTTTTTAATTCATTTATTTAACAATTTGCTGAGCATGTGTTCTGTACCGGGTACAGTTTTAGGTGCTAAGGATGCAGAAAACTGGTCAAAAATCCAGCCCTAATGTATCAGGGCTCCGGGCAAAAATGCGTTTAGGACCCAAGTACCGTAAGAGTCAAGTAAACGGTTAAATAAACGAGACTCTGTCTTGCTACCTGAACAATCCTGTCTTCACGGTGATCAGGAAGGCCAGGTTTTAATCTGGATTCTGGGACACCTAGAGTACTGGGCCCGAATGTGGCTGTACAGACAGAGTTAGTCCCCAGCCAGGAACAGAGGTCAGTCCACTACTCTACCCACCCAGGCTCCATCCTACACCATGAGGGTCCCTGTGTAGGTATGTGTCTATGTGTGGACACCCCAGCCCGCGAGTCCAAGCTCCATCCCCAGTCTTCACAAACAGCCTTCCGTTGACCACCCTTGGGGCCTAGAAGTACATACCTGGGCCATGCTGGCCGCCATCAGGACAGACCTGGGAGGGCCTGGGACCATTTGGGCGGGGAATGGTCTAGAGGGCAGGGAGTGGGGCAGGGGTTCTAGCAGTGATGACTCCTTAGCTCCGTGGGAGAGGCAGGAGGGCCTGAGCAGGGCCGAGGTCTACGGGCCATCCTGCTGCCATTCAATGAGAGACAGACCATAAACAAGACAAATCAGTCAAACATCTGGTACAGTGAAAGGTGAGGCTATAGAGGAGGATAGGCTGAAACGGCATAGGAAGTAAGGGGCCGGGGTGGGGGCTCAGTTTTAGCAGTCAGAGGAGGCCTTGCTGAGAAGGTGGCATTTGAGCAAAGACTGCAGAATACTGGAGAGCAAGTGTGCAGGTATGCCTAGGTAAAAGGAACAAATGCAAAGGCCCTGAGGCAGGAGTGTACTTGGAGGGGTTCAGCAGGGAGGCCAGTGTAGCTGGAGCAGAGAGAAAGAGCAAGCAAGGCTGCAGTGGGAGATGAGGTCAAACAGGTAAGGTGTGGGGCCCAGGTGCCCAGTCCTGGGCCACCTCCTCCACACCCAGGCAGGAGGCTGGGGTCAGGGCAGGGCCTGGTCCCACAAGCCCTGGGAAAAGGGCTGACTCAGCAAGCTCAGCTCCATCCTGGAGCTGGCGAAACCTGATTCCTCCTCAGCTCCATCCTCAGCCGGGACCTGTCTGGGCCTGCGGGCAGCTGCAGAGCTGGCAGGCAGGAGCTACAAGATTCTTCTCTCTCAGGCCAGTTCCCCCCCCCCCCAACCCCCACCCCCCACCCCCGCAGTGGGAGCCTGTCAGAAAGGAGCCTCAGATCGGGTGGGGCCAAGCCCTGGTGAGGAGTGCAGCCACTACAGGCCGCAGATGTGGGTGTGACTTACCAGCCAGACCTCTCAGCCTCAGTTTCCTCAAGACAGCCCTTCTCTCAAAGGGCTGAGAGGAGGCCGCTGTGAGAGGATGTTTGCAAAGCACGCAGAGCGGAGCCTGATGTGCTGTGAGGGGTCAGTAAGTGGTAACCGCTATTATTGTTCTCGCGGCTTCTGATTAGGCCGTCTCCAAGTTAGGGGTGGACCGGAGCCGCCCGTCCCCTCAGCTGCCTCAGCATTGCCGTGCCCGCTGCCCAGCAAGCTGCAGGGCTGTGGGGGGCCTGGGAGGAATCTGAGAGGGGATGGGTGGGTCAGGAATGCTCGGGCCGGGTTCCATCTCTCCCGTCCCCGCTGCCTTCCCGTAAGCCAGGGCAGGCTGGGAGGGCAGGGCAGGCCTCTGTGTGTCACCTTGGAACCTGACAACTGAGGCCTTCTGGGGAGACGAGGAAGTAATTACAGTGATCATCATCATTAGGGCTTCTGTGAGTTATGCACTTACGGTGTGCCAGGCAGCCGGCTGAAGCTTCACTCCGATTCCAACCGAAGTTTAAAATGTCCTGTGAGGCTCTACGTGATCGCACCCCGTTGCTCTGGGCCCTCGCCTCCTGCTCTCTCCTCACTCACACCGTTGTTCTGGCAACGTCAGCCTCCTGCTCTTCTCGGAACAGTGCAGACTGGCTCCACCTCAGGCTTTTGCATTTGCTGTGCCCTCTGCCTGGCGTGCTGTTCCCCCAGATATCTCATGGCTCCCTCACCTCCCTCAGGCATCACCCAAATGTCAGCTGTCAGATTCTACCCTTGAATTACCCTCTTTAGAATTGCAACCCCACCCCCACACACCGTGCCTGTTTTTCCAGAGCATCTATTACTTCTCGCCAGACGGTAGGATCTATTTTATCTATTGGTCCTGTTTAGCGTCTTTCTCCTCCCTCCCCTTCCTCCCCTTTGAGGATAAGCTTCATGTGGACAGGGATTTTTTTTTTAAGATTTTTTTTTTCCTTTTTCTCCCCAAAACCCCTGGTACATAGTTGTATATTTTAGTTGTGGGTCCTGCTAGTTGTGGCATGTGGGACACCACCTCAACATGGCCTGATGAGTGGTGCCATGTCCGCGCCCAGGATTCGAACCGGCGAAACCCTGGGACGCCGAAGCAGAGCACGAACTTAACCACTCGGCCACGGGGCCGGCCCCCAAAGGGATTTTTGCGTCTCTCCTTCTCTGCCACATCCCCAACCTACAGAATATTGCCTGGCACGTAGTAGGTACTCAAGAAATATTTGTTGAATAAAAGGGCTTTAGAACCCTCCAAAGCAGGTTTTGTCAATTCCTTCTGGGAAATGAGGAAACTAAGGCCCAGGGAGACAGGGTAAGTCACCCATGGTTATGCCCAGGTGCTAAGCCGCAGAGCCGAGAGGACCCAGGGCCACCATGTGGGACATCGCGTCTAGTCCTGACAGCAGTCCCAGGAGTGGCTGTGGTCATCTCGTTTTACAGAGGAGCACACTGAGGCTGGAGAAGGGCAGAGGTGGGCCATGAAGCTGGCTGTGCCTGTTCTGAACAAGCCGTTGTTCCCTAGAATGCGGGCTGTGTGCCCGTGGTGGGATGTGAGATTGTTACTGAGCCCTAAGGGACCGGGGCCCTGCAAGTGGGTCCTTTCGCCTGGAGCCGCTCACACCAATAGAACGGACCCAGGTTGGGCATAGCAAAGCAGAAACATTGTTCATTAATCAATGAATGGAGGAGACAGGGCTCGTGCTCTAAAACAACTTCTCCCAAAGGGAAGGTGAGCAGGGTTCTTATGGGATATGACAGGGGAAAGGTCTTCAGTCATCACTCGGGGCGGGGCATTTGGAACATGTACAGAGCTTCCTTTCTTGCACACAGCACCTTTTGCACACATTTCCTTTTGAACACGTTTCCTTTTGAACATGGTACCCCATCGCCATCTTGGACCTTTCTGGTTTGGACTGGTTCTGCCATTTGGCCACCTGGCATTGTTCTGTCTTGCTTCCTATAAGCAAGTACAACTTAAAAACAAGCATTAGAGGGGCTGGCCTGGTGGCACCACGGTTAAGTTCACACATTCTGCTGCAGTGGCCTGGGGTTCACCAGTTCAGATCCCAGGTGCAGACATGGCACTGCTTAACAAGCCATGCTGTGGTAGGGGTCCCACATATAAAGTAGAGGAAGATGGGCACGGATGTTAGCTCAGGGCTAATCTTCCTCAAAAAAAAAAAAAAAAAACAAGCATTAGACGTGGAAAATGTTTTAGTGACTTCCTTGGGTGACAAGATGATCTTAGGTGATACATGAGCAAGATATTAAGGTATGAAATGACCCTGAATCTCCAGAGAGAAAGTTATTCCATTTTCAGTTTTCTTTCACTCCTTCTGCTTGTGTCAAGGAGAGATTTGCCTGTTTTTGTGCTTAGCAAGTCTTTAAGGACTTTTAACACTCACAGTTTCCTCCCTTAACCAAGGAGAGAAGGCCTAGAATTTAACAGCATTGTTCTGTTGTCATGTTTTTGGGGTTTTTTTAAACACCATTTTATTTTATTTTTTTAAGATTTTATTTTATTTTTTCCTTTTTCTCCCCAAAGCCCCCCGGTACATAGTTGTATATTCTTACTTGTGGGTCCTTCTAGTTGTGGCATGTGGGACACCGCCTCAGCGTGGCTTGATGAGCGGTGCCATGTCCACGCCCAGGATTCGAACCGACGAAACACTGGGCCACTGCAGTGGAGCGCAAGAACTTAACCACTCGGCCATGGGGCCAGCCCCCGTTGTCACTCTTTTTATATTTACTTTCTAGTATGGCAAATGATGCTAGCTTTCCATTTACCATATTGTCAATATTTTTCATTTAAAATAAATTTAAGTTTTACACAGTCCATTTAAAGAAACAATATTAAGTAAAGATTAGTGAAGGTAGAACTCAGGGATGCCATAAACGGTGAAGGTGGTACTTCAAAGAATGAAGCTGGAAAATTTAAATCCATCCTCTGCATTTTATCTGAAAGGTTCTTTCAAAGAGTATTCACTTTCTTTGTGGAGGGCTAATTTACATCCAGAAAGTAAAAGAAGAATTAAGTGCTAATCTGAGTATTAAACTACAGTTCAGGGAAGAGTGAGAGGGAAATTTAGGGGCTGGAAGAAGCTAGTCAGGCTTCCTGGAGGAGGAAGCCCTTTGAGTTGGTCTTGAAGGATGTTGGGAGTTGGATAAGGGGCTGTAAGAAAGGAGGAGAGAAGCAGGAAAAGAATAGTTTATTAGAATTTTAGAATGAAAAAGGAAGGGACTTGAAGAGTCCCATGCTTTCCCTTGCCGTCAACCTGTTGTACAGATGAGAAAACTGAGGCCCAGGGGTGGGTGCAGCAAGGGTAGGAGAGCCCAGTCTGGTTCGGGTCTTAGGATCTTGTTCCAGGAGGAACCCGATGAAGTAGGAAATAAACCAAGCCAAGCTTGAAGGGGTGGGACCGGGATGGCAGGGTGAGCAGAGATGACAAGGACCAGGGTGGCAGAGTGAGGACGGATGATAAGGGAAGAGGCTTTGGGCTTGAGACAGTAAGGAGCCACGGTGAACTTTGGAAAATGGGAGAAGCCCCAAGAACAGCAGACAGCTCAGCAGAGTGTGAGAGTGTGGGCTCTGAAGCCCCAGTGCCTGGGTTCACGTCGTCCTCTGCCATTTGTGCCAGGTTACGATCTCTCTGGAGCGCGAGTTTCTCCACCCATAAGATGGGGATGACGAGAGTTCCTGCCTCACGGAGTTGCTGAGCAATCAAAGAAGTTAGTGCACATAACACACTTAGAGCAACGCTGAGCACACAGCAAGTACTCAGTAAATGTTAATCCTTATACTTTTTATTGTTTCGTTAACCGCAGGGTGGGCTGGGAAAAAAGGGGAGATTGGAGTGAAGGAGGCTGATCAAAAGGCTGCCACCTCTGTGCCTCAGTTTCCCCATCCGAATCAGCTGCTCTCTAAGGGTTCTCCTTTCGCGCTCCATGATGGGCGGAAGCCCACAGAGCCCTGAAAAGAACAGCTGCTAGAACTTGGTGGCTGCCTCAGCACTCAGCAGATGTTTGCTGAGCCCCTGCTGAGCGCCAGGCCCTGGGCCAGGCCCTGGGAAACATCAAAGATCCGGACAGCCCTGCACCCTGCCCACGCCTCCTTCACGAAGCTCTAGCCTAGGGGAGGAGACAGGGAGCATCCAGGTGATTACAGTGCAGGCGATGCCACCCTGACCTGGTGTGGAGTCAGGGAGGGTTTCCCCAAAGAGGTGACACCCAAGCTGAGACCTGAGGGCTGTGAGAGAGTTTACCATGGTCTGGGGAAGGAGATTAGGAGGAACCGTGTAGGCTCAGCGGGGGGAGGGGTATGACCAAATTGGTGCTCTAGAATGATCTCTCTGGTGTGTGTCCTAAACACTTGCATCCATGCAAAATTCCAGATGGACAAGGCCATTCACCATTGTTGCACTGTCTGTAACAGCAAAAGACTGGCAACAACCCTTAGTCCATCAGTGCGGGGCTGCTTAAATAAACTCTGCCGTATTCACAGCGTGGAATATTCTGCAACCGAGAATAAAGAATGGGGAAGCTCTTTATGTACCGATGTGGAAAGTTCTCCAAGGTATCTTGTCAAGGGAAAAAGCAAGCTGGAGGGCAATGTGTAAAGTGTGCTAACTTTTGTGTAAAAACAGAGGAGGAAAATGAGAATATAAGAATTTTTTACTTAAATATGCAGAGAGAAACTCTACAACGGCGCCATCCAGTAGAATTTTCTGTGGTGATGGAAATATTCTATATTTGTGCTGACCGATACTGTGGCCACTAGTCACAAGTGGCACTTGAAATGTGGCTCGCGTGACTGAGGAACTGATTTCTTTTTGTTTTTAATTTTTTTTTTAAATTCTTTCTCCCCAAAGCCCCCCAGTACATAGTTGTATATTTTAGTTGTGGGTCCTTCTAGTTGTGGCATGTGGGACGCCGCCTCAGCATGGCTTGATGAGCAGTGCCATGTCCGCGCCCAGGATCCAAACCAGCGAAACCCTGGGCTGCCGAAGCGGAGCGCGCGAACCTAACCACTCAGCCACGGGGCCGGCCCCTGATTTTTTTACTTCATTTAATTTACTTTATTATCAAATTTAAAGCTAAACAGCCACATGTGGCAAGTAACCTTGGACAGCAAGGTTCTGGAAGAATACAGAAGAAACTCGTAGCAGTAGCTCACTGTAGGGAGAGGGCTGGGAATTAATGAGGTGGATGATTGACAAGAGGGGAGGCACTTGAACTTTATACCTTTTTTGTGTTTTGTTATTTTTGAACTATGTGAATGCTTTACCTGGCCCAAAAGTTAGATTTGAAAAAAGAAAGGATGGAAGGAATGAGTGATTGGGGGGAGCAGGAGAGGGAAGGTGGTGGAGCCCTCGGCTGCAGTGTGGAGAATGGATTGGAAAGGGAGACCAGTGTTCAGCCGGGCTGCTGGCAAGAAAGAGGCAAACTCGAAAGACTGACTGAGGAGAGTTAGTGGAGGTGCTACTGACAGCAGTGGGTGTGGTCGCAGGGTTTCGTAATCTAAGCACTACTGATATCTGGGAGGGATAATTGTTGTGGGGGCCGTCCTGTGCTTGTGGGATGTTTAACAGCATCCCTGACCTCTACCTACTAGATGGCAGTAGCACCTCTCCCCACTTGTGACAACCAGAAATTTCTCTAGATATTGCCAAATGTCCCCAGAGGGGTAAGATCATCCCTGGTTGAGAATCACTGGGCTACATAACCAGCCACTGTGAAGTAGACAGGCATCCTGGGGCTAGCACATGGGAAGCCATTTCCACCCTTAGGCCTCGTGGAGCAAGGGGAGGAAATGGCATTTCAGATCCCAGTGAGAGCTGGAGCCATGAAAGAGGGTCCCCTGACAGGAGCTGTGGCTGTAGATTGCAGAACACAGCCGCTGCCAGACCTCAGCCTGGCAGGGACGAGGTGGTAAAGTTGAACTCGCTCTCCTCCCAGCCCGTTTTCTTTCAGGTTCCTCCCCTCAATTTAACCAGCCAAAAGCAGAATACAGGGGAGCTGGGGGTGGTGTGGTCCATACAGGTCGGCCTCCTAGGACACAGAGCTCAAGAGAGACGGGAAGAGAATGGATCTGGTGGGCAAAGGGGAATAAACCAGCACGGAAGACGTTGCCGTCATCCAAGTAGGGGTGATGGTGGCTGGGATAAAGGTGGTGGTGAGTGATGGACAGAAGTGAGTGGATTGGGGGATATTTGGGAGGATTCTGTGGCTGATCAGATGTGGGCAGTGAGTGAGAGGAAGGAGTTAAGGGCAAGATGTTCAGGTTTCTAGCCTGGGCAACAGGGTTGATAATGGTGCCATTTTCTGAAATGAAGACAGAAGAGCAAGTTGGCAATGATGAGTTTGGTTCTGAGCATGCCTTCGGTTTGAACATTTTGAGGTGCCTACAGGACGTGTAAACGGAGATGTTCAGATGCAGTGAGGTTATACAGGCGTGGGGTTCTAGAGAGGGATCTGGACCGCACGCAGGCCACGGGACCCTGGAAGGGAGGGGCATTAGTGCCAGCTTCCCACAGCCTCCGTCATGCTTCCCACTAGAGATGGGAGAGGGAAGTTGCCACCAGCTGGAGAGGAAGGAACAGAAAGGGTGAAGGAAAAGTGGTGGGTCCCACACCACGAACGGAACTCACATCTTTTATTTCATGTTTCTCTCCTCCCTGGGGTGGTTCCCCTGGACGAGAAGTCAAAGCTGAGGGGCAAGGCCTGAGTGCAGGATATGAAGGAGAGAGCTTCAGGGACGCTGCCTGTGTGATCAGGAGCCACCAGGCAGCTGAGGGGAAGGAGCAGGAGGAACAAACCACCCCGGCTATCCCTGAGGCTTCCTGGCAGGCCCAGCAGTCAGAAAGCTTGGGGACAGAGGAAGCAGGAAGCCACTGAGCCAACCCCAGGACTGAAGATCTAAGACAGCACCCTCAATCCCGGGTGACTCCTTGAATCAATGAGTCTAGAAAGGTTTCAATAAGAGCAGCTGAAGAGCTGTGAATACAAGTGGCCAATCAGAACTTCAAAAGGAAATAATAATAAATAAAGCTATAATAGTAATAGTAATAATGATGATAACAATAATAATAATGATAATAATAATGATAATAATAATGGTCCCTTTGTCTTAAGAGCTTTCTAAAAGCCAGGTAGGGGGCCAGCCCGGTGGTGCAACAGTTAAGTTCGCACGTTCCACTTTGGCTGCCTTGGGGTTTGCCTGTTTGGATTCCAGGCGCAGACATGGCACCGCTTGTCAAGCCATGCTGTGGCAGGCGTGCCACGTATAAAGTAGAGGAAGATGGGCACAGATGTTCACTCAGGGCCAATCTTCCTCAGCAAAAAGAGGAGGATTGGCAGAGGATGGTAGCTCAGGGCTAATCTTCCTCAAAAACAAAATTAAATTAAATTAAATTAAAAAAATAAATTGGAAAAATAAATAAATAAAAGCTAGCTGATGTGCAGAGCACTTTCTTTTATCTCACTCCAATCAGGTGACCAGAGAAGTCTACTCTTTCTCAGATGCAGAGCCAATAATATTCATTGTGCCCTGTGACAAGGACATGATGATCCCCATTTGACAGGTAAGGAAATTGGGGAAACTTGGCTTAGATTTGAACTCGAGACCTCCCAGTTCCAAGGGTCTTACTCAGTCCACTTCTAGGCCCGGGGCATCCTCCTCCCTCCCATACCGCCTTCCTCCTCCCTCTGCCGCTGGTCCTGCCACTCCCCCTTGGCCAATTTTCCCTCCTCCTCCTCCTGAGATCCCCCCACCTTCCCTCCCTCTCCATGTCTCTATGGAAATGAAGTCGAGATTGTTTTTGGTGGACTACACTTTATGATCCTTGAGAAATACTTTAAACGGTGATCTCATGTATTGTTTCCATTAAGGAAAAAACAATAAAAACAAGTCATTTCACTTTTATACATCACTCTCTTATTTCCTGTAATAATTCAGTTGACCCTCAGTAAAGGGGAGCAGTTTCCCTAATCCTAACCAACAAGTATATCGTGTTGCTCTTGCTCCTGCTGGCTGGGGTCAGGAGCGGGTTTATTTTTCCAGGGATATCAGACCTCTCGGCTCATGGGCCACCAGGGAATACTTCAGGGTTCTGATTTCAAGTGTTTCAGAGGGCTGCTTACAAATGCTCCACTCGTCCTCTCTGTGCCCACCAGATTTCTTCCGTGGACAATTACAGGGGTCTTTGAGCTGTGCTGCCGCCCCAGGACTCCTCCCCCATCTGTGCCAGAGTGAACTTTCCAGAACACAGATCTCATCATGTGTCATTTCTCCACTTAAACACTTCTGTTCCGTTCCCATGACCTACTAGATGAAGTCCAAGTGGCCTGTCATGTGAACCCTCCAGACCCTGGCCTCAGTTGGTCTTACAGCCTTAACTTCTGCCCTCCCATTACCTCACCCCAGGTACAGCCCCCACGAATCATGCTGGACAGTTCACCCTTCCTGGAATGGAGACTTTCCTCTTGCCTCACCTTTGCTTGTGCTCTTCCCCTACCTGGGCTGCCTTTCCTTCTCACCCCAGCCCTCCCCAGATCTGATAAAGTCCTACAAGCATTTCCTCTGCAAAGCCTTCCACAATCCTGGGAGTGTCCGAATTAGCTGCTCCCTTGATGTTTTGTTCTTTCGTCCAGTAGATCTCATCAGAGGCTGGCCCTTAGGTGTTTCGTGTCTATCTCCCCAGTTAGATCTTAAGCTCACTGAGGGCCTCTGCCTGATGATCTCCAGCTGGCACTCTCAGCCCTGGCACCAAGCACAGTTCCTGGGACCCAGGCAAGTGCTGAGAAATTGCTGAACTGAAATCTGAGACCAAAAAAACCTCTGAATCCCATCTTCACATTTCCAGTAAAGGGAGTTAATGGCTGGTCTCTCATCTCTCAAAGCTGCTTTGCCTCTCCTTTAGCCTACAAGAGATTTGGTTCCTGCTGTGATGTAACTTCTTCCAGGAAGCTGTCCAGGTTTGACATCCTTTCTAAAAGAGTCTCCTTAGACCTGCATTAATGCGCTCATCACCCTGAAGTGTAAATGCCTCCTTACCTGTCCATCTCCCCCACCAGCAGGAGGACACCTTGAGGGCTGGGGCTGTGGGGCTAGCCCAGGGCAGGTACCGGGTGAACAACTGTAGAGTGCTTTCAGCGCATCAAATGTGTTTTGAGCACTTAATGTGTACTAATTCATTTACGGGTCAGAACAAGCCAATGAGGTGGGTGGTGTTAGCCCCATCACACAGCGGGCAAACTGAAGCTAGAGAGGCTCTAAACTTCCCCAAAGTCACACAGCTAGGAAGTGGAGGAACAAGGGTTTTAATCCAGGCCACCTGGCTCCAGAGTCAGCTCTTACCCGCTGCACGACAGTAATTGCATAACTGAGTGAACGGAAGTGGAGAGGTGGGGTCAATGCCCAAGCAGCCCGGGCACACCCTGGACTCCCGCTTGTCTTCCCCCAGGAGACATAGTCCCACGCCAGTCTGCAGGGAGTTGCCCAAATGCAGGGCCAAGATCCGTACTAATGAAGCGTTCTTGGTGAAGAGGGTTTTAATAAAGACTTGTTGTTCTCCTCTGCCCTCAGCAGCCACCCCATTTCCTGCTGCCCCATAAGGAGGTCCTGGGAACGGGTAACGTTGCTTTGCTGATGAATAACCTCTGGAGTAGCTTTCGGAACAAAAGACATCGCAGCACCAGGCCCACTGCCAGATCTCTCAGACTGTCACCTCTCTGCCTGCTGGTGGGCACCAAAGATGGCTCAGAAACCTGAAATATGCACATCATCTTTGACCCAGTAACTCTGCTTGGAGAAATTTATCCTGAAGACCTAGCCAGACAATTAGAGATCCTCGTAACATTGTTTATAAGAATATTCACTGGAAAAAACCCAGGTCCATAAAAAAGGGAATTAGTTTAATAAATTATAGGCATTTAAACAGTGGGAAATTACATCATTATAGCCATTAAGATACTATTGGGAATCCATATTTATGGCTGTGGCAGGCTGTCTGTGAACTGCTGTTGAGTGAAAACACAGTACTTTATAGACTAGGTAGAGAAAGGCGGTTTATTCCTGAAGGAGACACAGAAAGTGGTAACAGTAGTTCCTTTGGGGAGGGGAACAAAGCCGCTGAGGGACCTGAGAGGAAGACTTACTTTTTTTTTTCCCAAGCTTTTTTGTAGAGTCTTTATTTATTTATTTATTTATTTATTGAGGAAGATTAGCCCTGGGCTAACTACTGCCAATCCTCCTCCTTTTGCTGAGGAAGACTGGCCCTGAGCTAACATCCATGCCCATCTTCCTCCACTTTATACGTGGGATGCCTACCACAGCATGGCTTTTGCCAAGCGGTGCCATGTCCACACCTGGGATCTGAACCAGCGAACCCTGGGTCACCGAGAGGCGGAACGTGCGAACTTAACCCCTGCACCACCGGGCCGGCCCCAAGGAAGACTTACTTTTTAATTTTTAATGCATTTCACGTGACAGAATTAGAGTACTCATAATCTCCGATTCATGATACACTTTGTATCATTGGTGTGCGCATGTCTAGTTTTCAATTTGATTCATTTATTCACTTATTTTTAACTCTCCACCCAACCCAAGGACTAGAACATAACAACAACCTATATCTACCTGTGGGACCCTTCTCTGTCCCACCCCACCACATCCCCAAGAGACGACCAGTCTTCTGATGTTGTGTTTTTCCTTCCCTTGCTTCTTTTGTGTAGTTAATCACATATATGCATAAGGCCTAAATATACTGTTTTGTTTTTTTTTTTGTAAAGATTGGCACCTGGGCTAACAACTGTTGCCAATCTTTTTTTTGTGTGTGTGCTTTATTTCCCAACCACCCCCCGTACACAGTTGTATATCTTAGTTGCAGGTCCTTCTAGTTGTGGGATGTGGGACGCCACCTCAACGTGGCCTGACGAGCGGTGCCATGTCCGCGCCCAGGATCCGAACCACTTAACCACTCGGCCATGGCACCGGCCCCTATACTGTTTACTTTTAATTATTTCTAACTTTTATAAAAAGAGTATCATATGGTCCAGAATCTTTTGGAACTAGTTTTTCCATTCAAAGTCATATTATTAAGATTCATTCATGCTGTGGTGTGTAGCTGCAGTCCATTCATTGTTTTATTGCTTTGTTTTTCCATTGTATGAATATATTGCATTTTTATAACCCATTATCCCGTCAATGGACATCTGGGTTTTTCCAGATTTTTGCTATTATGAATAATGCATCTAGGAATATTCTTGTACGGTCTCCTCCAGCACATGTTTCTGGTGTTTTCTCTGGTTAAATGCTGAGGGATGGACTCTCCAAGGTGTAGGGTTTGTGAATGTTCAGGTTGACTAGAATTGTACCAATTTACACTCCCACCAGCACATCAAAGGGGCGCTGTTGGGCCAGTCTGGTGGTGTAGTGGTTAAGTTCATGTGCTCTACTTCAGTGGCCTGGGCTTCACAGGTTTGGATCTGGGCACAGACATACACACTGTTCATCAAGCCATGGTGTGGCGGCATCCCACATACAAAATAGAGGAAGATTGGTACTGATGTTAGCTCAGTGACAATCTTCCTTAAGCAAAAAGAGGAAGATTGGCACAGATGTTAGCTCAGAGTGACTCTTCCTCAGCAAAAAGAAAAGAAAAGAAAAAGAATGACTTATGAATATATGGAACAACGTGAGTGAATCTCAAAAGCATTTCGCTAAGAGAAGGAAACTAGATACAATGGACCTCATAGTGTATGATTCCATTTCTATGCCATTCTGGAAAAGGCAAACTACAGGGAGAGAAAAGAGCTCAGTGGTTGTCTATGGCTAGGGGGGCACAGAGAAGTTGTCTACCAAGGGCACAGGGAATCTTCTGGCCTGATGGGACTGTCCTACATCTTCCGTAGAGTGGTAGATATGTGGGTGTCTGTCAAAAGCACAGATCCGTACACCAAAAAGGGTGAATTTTACTATATGTGAAGCATAGTTTAATTTTTAAAAATGCGGAAAAAAGGTTAAAACAGAGAGGACTTGAGATCTCTGAAGTTCTGGGCACTGAGGAAAAGGGGGTTTCCCGTGTGTACCCTGACTCAGCTCTTTGTAGAACCTTCTTAAAATCTGACGCCTGTCTGGCTCAAGCTGAGAGCTCCGTCTCAGAATTGCTGGTGACCTTGGGCAAGTAGCTCTCGCTCCCGGAAAACTCAGTTCCTTCCCCCAGAGAGGAAGGAGAATGCTCTGATAATCTCAAAAAGTGCACAAACAAATGTCTAGCAAGCACTGACGCTCTGCCAGGCTACCCACGAAGCATTACATACGTTCTTTCATATAGCAGGAATAATAACAAGGAGGAGGAGAATGTTTTTAAAAAGTTCTTTATTGAGCATTTATATGTACTTAGTGCTTTTGCAGATATTAGTTGATTTAATCCTCACACCACTCCTAAGAGGTGGGAACCCCTGTTCCCTCCTTTTTACTAAGGAGGAAACCTAGGCACCAGGTGGTTACATAACTTGCCAAGATCAACACAGCCCAGTATCCCCAGGACTTGAACCCAGCCCTCTCCCTCCAGGGCCCAAGCTCTTCCCCATCACGCTGGGTCAATGATGTGCCTTAGGTGAGCTCTGTAACAGCCTCACAGAGTCTGGGTCAGAAAGGACCTTGCCTTTTATCTAGTTCAGTTTTGTTTTGTTGTTGTTGTTGTTTTTTGAGGAAGATTGGCCCTGAGCTAACATCTGCTGCCAATCCTCCTCTTTTTGCTGGGGAAGACTGGCCCTGAGCTAACATCCATGCCCATCTTCCCCTACTTTATATGTGGGATGCCTACCACAGCATGGTTTGCCAAGCGGTGCCATGTCTACACCCAGGATCCGAACCGGCGAACCCTGGGCCGTCAAAGCAGAATGTGTGCACTTAACTGCTGTGCTACTGGGCCAGCCCCTAGTTAAGTTTTTTAACTGCAGGTCTCCAGCGGTTAATGAGGCTTCAAATCTATTCACTGGGTCAGGATTGCTTCTTTTAAAAATGAAAAAGAATAAAATAGAGTAGAACAGAAGAAAATAGAAAATATCAGAGTATATCGTGCATAGGAAAGTAAGTGTTGTAGTGTAAAAATTCCATTTCAGTGTATGTGTCCCAGCACAGTGTAAAATGTATTGCTTTCTGGGGGTCCTGATCAGGAAAGTTTGCACACTGGTCTGATCTATTTTAAAGTGTCTGAGACTGAGTCTCAGAGAGAGGAAGCCACCTGCCCAAGGGCACACAGCCAGCCTAGAGTCAGGTAGTCCTGGCTCCCATGGCAATAACCATTCAATCATTCATTCATTCAACAGATACTTACCTCGGCCTGCTCTGGTCCAGGCCCCATGCTGGGCACCAGGAATATAATGACAAACAAGACAAACCTGGTCCTGTCCTCCAGGGACCTCAGTCCCCTGAAAGGGATGAGAAGCAGCTGATATGGCACATAATAGCCACTCTTTATACATATGGCTTGTTCTGTGCCAGCCACTGGTCTGAACATGTACTAGCTTACTTGATTCCTAGACAACCCTAAATGGGAGGTCCTATTAACATCATCGAGCCCATATAATAGATGGAGAAATTGAGGCACAGAGGCAGTAACCTGCACATAGCTAGTAAGTGGCAGAGCTAGGATCTGAGCCCTGGGAGCCTGCCTCCAGAGCCTGCATTCTTTTTTTTTTTTTTTTAAAGAACCGTTTTTATTTTTATTTATTTTTTTCTCCCCAAAGCCCCAGTACATAGTTGTATATCCTAGTTGTAGGTCATTCTAGTCCTTCCACGTGGGATGCCACCACAGCATGGCTTGATGAGCAGTATGCAGCTCAGTGCCCAGGATCCAAACCGGCAAACCCCCGGCCGCTGAAGTGGAGCACACGAACTTAAGTGGAGCACACGAATTTAACCACGCAGCCATGGGGCCGGCTCCAGAGCCTGCATTCTTAAGCACGACCCAATTCTGCCTTTTGGGTTGTTCTGCAGTATAAGCCACAGCCCAGCAACAGGTCTCAAGGGGATGGGATGGGGGAAAGAGAGGCTCACAAGTGGGGAGAATTTATTGCAAACTTAGCCCTAGCATCTATCCACGGTCAGGCTATTTTGGGCTCTTGGCTTTTAAATTTTACTTTTATAGTTTTTAAGATACTTAGGTCACACCGTGACTAAGTTCCGTCTCCTCAGAGGAACGTCTGGAGGGAACCCAGGCTCTAAAATTGGCATACAGAAGAAGGGAAGTGGCTTCGGGGACTCCAAGCTGGACTGGAGCTGGCTGGCTGGCTGGCTCTGGAAAGGTGGGGCCCTGCAGAGAGGCAGGCGCCAGGCAGACCTTGCCTACCACCTTTTGAGCTCCTTGGTCGGAGAGGACCTCCCACCCCAGGTGAGTAACCTCCTCCGGGAGCTGGGGGATCATGCTGTAGCTTGAATGTTACTTTCCATGTGCCCAGTGTCTATTCACTAGGTGACAGCACCATCATTTTTCTTTAGGGGACCACACCTCTCCCACTCTTAGTCCATGTGGTCCTGGGAGGCTCATTCCTCTTACCTCACTCTGGGGCTGGACACATGACCCAGTCTTAGCCAATCAGAACCACCCAGCTAGCTCTCCGGCCACAGGATTTGTTCAGAGGTGGGTACGCACTGAGCCAAGTCAGGGCAAAAAAAGTGAAACCTGAGACTTTTGCTGTTCCCACTGGGAAAGTATAGTTCTTTGTGACTGGCAGTGTTAAACTGGTAGGTTGGGAGACTGTCTCTGCCTTGATAGGAGAATCTAAGAAGAAAGTCAACATAGAAGAAAGTAAAGACAGAGCAAGACAGATCCCTGATGACATATTTGACCAGTTGGAGCAATCCATGCCTGAAGTCCATCTATCATGAACTTTTTAGTACATGAGCCCCCAAATGCCCTTTTTCTGCTTAAGCACTTGTGTTTCAGGCATTTAAAACCCAAAGTGACCAATATAAATGCCAAGACACAGCATGTTAGAGGGCAAAGAGCACTGGACAAGGAGTCTTTTTTTTTTTCTTTTGCTGAGGAAGATCAGCCCTGAGCTAACATCTGTGCCAATCTTCCTCTATTTTGTATGTGGGTTGCCACCACAGCATGGCTGACCAGTGATGTAGGTCTGCACCCAGGATCCAAACCTACAAACCTGGGCCACTAAAACAGAGTGTGCCAAATTTAACCACTATGCCACAGGGCCGGCCCCCTGGACGAGGAGTCTTAAGGCTTGGATTTGAATTAAGGTTTCACTCTTTATTAGATTTTGAAATCTCCCTGTATTTCAGTCCCTTCAACTGAGAAATAGAAATGGCATCACTGCCTGTAAAACATTTTAGTGGGAAATCAGATGAACATGGATGGGAAAGTGCTTTGTAATCTGTAAAGTGCTTTGCAAACACTAAAGCCCCATACACACATGGGCAACCTCTGTTGCACATGATATTCAGTTGAGAAGCTGATCTAGAAGTGAGTAGTTCCATCTGTGCCGTGGCCAACCTGCTGCGTGACGTCTGCCAGATGTGTTAACCTCCCTGAACCCTTGGTTCTTGTCTTTGGAAAAATGGATTCCTGTTTCTCCTGGGGATTTGTGAACTGGATCAGGAGATTCTCCTGATCTTAATTAAAATCCTGCAAGGGCTCCCCACTGCTCTAAGAGCACAATCCAAGCTGGTCACCATGATTAACACAGCGCCCCCTGCCCCCAGCACTCTCCTTACCTGTTGGATCTAACCTGCCTCTCCCTCCTCCTGCAGCTCGATTGAACTACCTGAAAGTGCTGAGCCCTCCTTCTCTCCAGGCTTTTCCCCAGGTGGTGACCTCTGCCAGGAACACTCTGGCTAACTCAACTTAGAGGTCACTTCCTCTTTCTCTGAGCCTCCGCATCACTCGCCTTGTTAGTCCTGAATCATTATCACCGGGGCTGGTCTCCAACCAGGGTCACCGATAAGGCTATTCGAGTTGCTAAAATACCATGTTGGAATTTTCCCATATCAGTTGGTCGTCAGCTATTTTCCTGAGTCTCCTTGAGAGCTGCTCACACCTGCAGCCCCTCCCACGCACCCCCCCATCTCCCCACCACCCAGCAACCAAAAGGGTAAAGCCTGGCACAGCAGGGGGCCTGGGGCCCCTGCTCTAGTTCATGGCTGGTGTTCATTCTGATTGGCCTGGTGTCCAGGCTCTACCAGTTGTTAAATATTAATATCCTCCTCGTTTATTGCCCTGGATCGTAAATACCTGGTTCCCTTGTCTGCTTATTCACCAGACTGAAAGATCCTTGAGGGAAGACAGACAGCTCCCTCACCAGCAGAGCACTTGGCACGTGCTAGGTGCAATGAGTATTTACCGAATGAATGAATGGATGGATGAGTGAGTGGAGGAATGAGTGGGGCCCAAAAAGCTGGAGAGTCACTCTGGAGAATGATGGGTCCCCCATCTTCAGTCTGGACTCGGGAGTTTTCTTCTAGGCCTGCGATGGCAACCTTGCCCTTTGCCCAGGTTTTATTGCTCTGCGGCTCTCCGCCCCTGCCTGCGGAAGTTCCCTCCACCTGCCACAGTCTGGCTCCAGCCTAGCCAGCCTCGCCTTCCCCTCCTACACAACTCCAGAACAGCTGAGCCTGGAAGACCAAGATGCACTCCTTTCACGAACCTACGAGTAGGCGAGCACACACATGTACACACGCACGCACGCACACACAGGAGTGGACCATCAATCAGTGCTCACTGACTGTGGTATGGTGACTAACCAGTCCCGGTTCACCCAGAACTTTCCAGGTTTAGCACTAAAGTCCTACATTCCAGGGACCCCTGTCCTAGGCAGACGGGACAGTTGGTCACCCTAGCACTGGGTTGGTTGGGTCTTTCTTCACGGACAGTGGAAGCTGTGGTGGCCTTCAGGACGATTTCTCTGTCGCGGGTGCTGAGCACAGGGCCTGCACGTGGTGGGTTTGCTGGCCGTGGAAAATCCCTTCACCTCTCGGTTTGCTCAAGAGGGCACCAGACAGTATCTTCCTCATAGAGGTGCGTGAGTTAATGAAAGGAAAGGTGCCTGCAACTAGCACCTGGAACATGGTGAGTGTTGTATAAATGAGAGACATTATTGTTGTTGTTGTTGTTATATATGTGCATGGAAGGAAGGTTTCTAGATTTTTCCGTGTGTGAATCAAACAAGAACAGTAGGAGGTATAGGGCCACAAGAGTCTACTAAGCCTGCTCTTAGCAAGACCACCCCCCCCCCCCCCCCCGCCAACTTAAAAAAGAAAACAGTTTTATTCTGATAAAATTCACAAACCAGGGGCCAGCCCAGTGGTGCGGTGGTTAAGTTCACATGTTCCACTTCAGCGGCCTGGGGTTCGCCGCTTGGGATCCAGGTGAGGACATGGCACTGCTTGGCACGCCATGCTGTGGTAGGCGTCCCACATATAAAGTACAGGAAGATGGGCACAGATGTTAGCTCAGGGCCAGTCTTCCTCAGCAAAAAGAGGAGGATTGGCAGCAGTTAGCTCAGGGCTAATCTTCCTCAAAAAAAAAAAAAAATTCACAAACCACACTAATTCACCTATTTAAAACATTCAATTAAGCGTCTTTTAGGGGCCGGCCCGTGGGTGAGTGGTTAAGTTCGCGCGCTGCGCTGCTGTGGCCCAGGGTTTCGCCGGTTCGGATCCTGGGTATGGACACGGCACTGCTCATCAGGCTACGTTGAGGCGGCGTCCCACATGCCACAACTAGAAGGACCCACAACTAAAATATACAACTATGTACAGGGGGATTTGGGGAGAAAAAGCAAAAAAAAAAAAAAAAAGAAAAATGGCAACAGTTGTTAGCTCAGGTGCCAATCTTTTTAAAAAAATGTTTTTTAGGGGGCTGGCCCCGTGGCCGAGTGGTTAAGTTCTCGCGCTCCGCTGCAGGCGGCCCAGTGTTTCGTTGGTTCGAATCCTGGGCGCGGACATGGCACTGCTCATCAGACCACGCTGAGGCAGCGTCCCACATACCACAACTAGAAGGACCCACAACGAAGAATACACAACTATGTACTGGGGGGCTTTGGGGAGAAAAAGGAAAAAATAAAATCTTTAAAAAAAAAAAAAATGTTTTTTAGTCTATTCACAAGTTTGTGGCATCATCACCACAATCTAAGTTGAGAACATGTTCATCCTCATGTAAAAGAAGGCCCACGCCCAGGAGCAGTTACTCCCAATTTCCCTCCTACCCCCAATCCTGCCTCGCCCTAGGCAACCACTGATCTATTTTTTGTCTCTGTAGGTTTGCCTATTCTGGAAATTTCATTAAAATCAAATCATGTAATATGTGAGTTTTTGTGCTGGCTTCTTTCACATAATGTTTTCAAGGTTTGTCCATGTTGTAGCATGTGTCAGAACTTCCTTCCTTTTCATTGCTCACTGCCTACCCCTCAAACCACTTTATTTTATTTATTTATTTATTTATTTTGAGGAAGATTAGCCCTGAGCAGCATTCGCTGCCAATCCTCCTCTTTTTGCTGAGGAAGATTGGCCCTGAGCTAACATCTGTGCCCATCCTCATCTATTTTATATATGGGACTACTTCCTCAGCATGGCTTGATAAACAGTGTTAGGTCCGTGACCGGGATCCAAACTGGCGAACCCCAGGCACTGAAGCGGAGTGCGTGAACTTAACCACTGTGCCACCAGCCTGGTCTCTCCCCCAAACAATTTTAGATATATCCAGAAAGGCTGAAATGCTCACCAGAGTCAGAACAAGCTTGTACTTGTAGAGGAGGAGATCATGTAATTTTTTATTTTTGCTATATCTATTTCTTTTGTCTTATTCATTGTCTTAAATTTTCTTTTGACCTTATTGCTTTTTTCTTTATCTAGTCAAGAGATAATATTTGAAATAAAAAGAGAGTGTATCACATATATGTTACAAAGCATAACAATATAGTGAATAATTGTGAATTCACCACTCACAGCAAATTTCCCTCTCCAGAGAAATTTCTGTTGGAAGATGAGGATTTAGGGTCCTTATCAAGCTTCCTAGCTTCCCTCTCAAACAATTCCCAATATTTAATAATTATGTATTATTCAAAACATTTAAATTTTGTTATGTGACTATAATTAAGTCTTTTGTGCTGGAGGTTGACTCTAAAAATGGAAAAGCAATAAACAGCATCATGATTCTGTAAGTATTACTCACCTGAGAACTCCTGGCCACCAAGAGAAGGAAATGTGAACCTGGCCAGAGACACAATTCTCAATCTCAAGAAGCTCAAAGTCATAGTTTTTAGAGGCAGAAGAAGACGAAAGATCTTTCCAGTCCAACTGAGTCATTTTACAGCCAGGAAGCAGACTTAGGGAAGGAAAGTGATTCTGCTTCCAGTCACAAAGGTCAATTATTCCCTACGCTGTGTTCTGGCCACCTCCTGGAATTTGCTGAATGAATAAACAAATAAACTGTGTTAGCCACAAAGTTCCTTTTGTAAGGGAAATTAGACTATGAGGCCTTCACATTAAGGATTCGAGAGCATAAACTAAGAAAATAAAGTAATATTTTAATTCCCAAAAAGTAAAAGCCCTTTGTCTCCAAGCATCGTTGACTGGGGGCAGGCTGAATTTGGCAGCGTGGGAGCTCACTGGCTGCTGAGCCTGGAGGATTGGTCTTGTCAAACCTGGGGGTAAGATTAGGAAGGGCTTTCTCTCTCCATCCCACATGGACAGGATCCTTGGCTCAGAGAGGAGGGGTGGGGCCTCTTCTGCTGGAAGGTGGGAGACAGGAAGCACAGGTCTGTGGGGCCTGGATAGCTCTTCTGCAGCACCTTATCTGTTGTTCTTGTGACACTGAGTACAAAGATGTCTGTGCCAAGAGAGGGCACCCAGCCAGCGGTGGAAGGCCATGGTAGCAGGCTCCCCTCTTTCAGCGGGCTTAGGAGAGGGTGAGAGTTAGGCTGGAAGGATCCTGCTACTCATGGACTCTGCTCAGGGAAAAACCCAACCCCTCAGCCTGTGGAATGTGGAAATAGTAATAGTTAATGTTTATTGAGCACTTCCCACCTGCCATGTTTACTTAGGTTCTCTCACCTAATTCCCACAACCACCCAACAAGGTAGGTACCATTATCCCCATTTGTACAGATGAGGAAATTAAGGTCCAAAGAGGGTTTCAGTGACTCATTCAAAGGCTTCTAATTAGCAGGTGGAAGACGAGGATTCAGACCCAGGAGCGAGGCATGAACGTCCACGCCGGGAACCATTTTGCCAGACTGGTCTTGGAGCCAGAGCACCAGCCTCAAATCTGCCTCCGCCATGACCTGGCTGTTCATCTCAGGACTCAGCCGCCTCCTCTGGAAGATGGGAGAATACCTTCTGCTCTGTAGGCAGGTCGGAGGACTGAATGGCCCGACCCAGGGCCTGCCCCTCTGGTTCCAGCTCTCATCACTACCCCCCACCCAGCCATCCCCATACTGGAAGCTCCAGCTGAGCTGAATGACCTGCAGCTCAGGCTTTGCTCTTGCCACCTTCTCTTGGCTACCCTGGGGTCCGGACTTTCAGGTCAACTCAACAGACCATTTCTTGCCAGATTAAGCATAGTTTGCCTCTCAATTCAAATGGCAGCTGGAAATAAAAGCCCGCCCTGACCTTAGCAGTATGGCATGGAGGTTAAGAAGCTTTGACTCCATCAAATTTCAGCTCTGTCACTTTTACTGTGTAACCTTGGGCAAATCTCTTTATCTCTCTGAGCCTCTGCTTCCAAATCTGTAAAATGGATGTAGTGACAGCACCCAAAGAGTTGTATGAGGACTGGTGAGAGAATGCATATGGACTATGGTGAGCTCCAGCAAATGGTAGCTATCACTTTTATCACACACTATATTGCAGTTACTGGCATTTAGCACAATGCCTGGTACATAGTTGGCATTCAATAAATATTTAATAAATAAATGGATGAATGTTTTTTTTTTTTCCTGCTTTATCTTCCCAAACCCCCCGTACATAGTTGTATGTCTTAGTTGCAGGTCCTTCTAGTTGTGGGATGTGGGACGCCGCCTCAATGTGGCCTGACGAGCTGTGCCATGTCCACACCCAGGATCCAAACCCTGGGCCACCGCAGCGGAGCATCAGAACTTAACCACTCAGCCATGGAGCCGGCCCCTAAATGGATGAATGTTTACCTGTCTGCATGCTTTACTACCTTATGAGCTTCTTAAGAGAAGAGACCATATTTTGTTTATTTCTGTGTCCCCAGTGTTGAGCAGAGTGCCTGGCACATGGAGGTGCTTAGTAAATGTTTGCTGTCTGCCCTAATGAGCTAATGGATCTGGACAGCCATCATCCATGGTGTGAAAACCACATGGTGAAAGGCTGTTGGAGAACTTGATAATGGCAGGATCAGCTGACACCAACTGAATCTTAGTCTCCTAAAAGTGAGTCAGCCAGACAGTTTCTTGCTTCCTGATATGATGCTATGGGAAGTACCACTTATGAAATATTTTTGCCTAAAACATTGAATCTGAATCAAATCAAACCTCTAGATCCGAGTGCCAGTTTACATGCCATACAGGATAGAGGGACAAGGTAAATGACACTGTGAGGATGCATTCGACCAAATACCAAACGCCAGACATCCAACAGGACAAATCACCTGGTGTCTTAAAAAAAAAGAAATGCTGCTTAAAAAAAAATAACTCCATAAATCTGGAATTATGTCAAAATAGAAACAAACAAAAAAAGGATCCATTCACCATCTTGCTGCTGGTTTCACAATATATGCATAAGCCAAAACTCATCTAATTGTGTACTTTAAATATGTGCAGTCAATTATACCTCAAAAAAGCTGGACATAAAGGGATGGGGAGACTGTTACAGATGTATAGAGACTTAACGACATAACAGGTCAATGTATAATGTGGCTCTTGCTTGGATCCTCATTCAAACAAACTAATTGTAAAAAAGATACTTTTCAAGTACAACCTAGCCATTAGATGATATAGAGAAATGGTGAATTATTATTTAATGGGATGATGGTCATGTTTTAAAAATGTCTTTCTCAGTTAGAGATGCAGACTGAAATATCTACAGGGGAAATGACATGTTATCTGGGATTTGCTCTAAAATATTCTGCCAAAATAAAAATAAAAATGCAGGAGTATGTACTACTAGGATGGCCAAAATGTCCAAAACACTGACAACACCAAATGCTGGCGAGGATGTGGAGCAACAGGAACTCTCCTTTGTTGCTGGTGGGGATGCAAAATGGTACAGCCAGTTTGGCAATTTCTTACAAAACTAAACATACTCTTATCATACAATCCAGAAACTGTGCTCCTTGGTATTTACCTAAAGAAGCTGGAAACCTACATCTACACAAAAACCTGCACATAGATGTTCATAGCAGCTTTATTTATAATTGCCAAAACTTGGAAGCAACTAAGAGGTCCTTCAATAAGTGAATGGATAAATAAACTGTGGTACATCCAGATAATAGAATATTATTCAGCACTGAAAAGAAATGAGTATCAATCCACGAGAAGACATGGAGGCACCTTAAATGCATATTACTGAGAAGCCGATCTGACGAGGCTACTTATCTTGTGACTCCAACTGTATGACATTCCGGAAAAGGCAAAACTATGGAGACAGTGAAAAGATCAGCGGTTGCCAGAAGTTAGTGGAGAGGGAGAGACAAATAGGAGGTGGAGCACAGAGGACTTCTGGGCAGTGGAATATCTCTGTATGATACTATAAGGGTGGATACATTTCATTGCACATTCGTCCAAACCCACAGAACATACAATACCAAGAGTGAACCGTAACGTAAACTGTGGACTTTGGATGATTTTGATGCGCCAAAGTCGGTTCATCAATGGTAACAAATGTACCACTCTGGTGAGTGATGTTGATAATGGGAGAGGCTATGAATGTGTGAGGACAGGGGGTATTTGGGAAGTCTCTGTACCTTCCCCTCAAATTTGCTGTGAACCTAAAACTGCTCTAAAAAAATACTCTTAATTTTTAAAAACGCAGGGATGAAAAGATGAAACAAGATTTGGTACCGTTACAAAGTTTATAAATTACAAAATTGTAAAAATTGCAAAAAACAGGTGTTGGAGCTGGGTGATAGATACACGGTGTTTCATTATTCTATTCATGGTATGCATTACACTATTTTCTTTACTTTGTGTTTGAAATGTTTTTTGCAGACATGAGTGCCTGAGCTGCAAAGGGCGGTACCCCTATCAGTTACCACCATTTTAACAGGAGGCTGAAGCCAGATCTCCTGTTCCCTCCCTGGTGTGCTGGCAGGCAGCCCAGCCCAGCAGAGGGGTCAGGAGCCCCCAGGAGAGGCTAGTATGGAGCCTCCTCTCCCCACACCGTGGGGAGCCTGATCTGGCTGTAGTCCCCAGCAATTCCAATTTCCCTGGGATTCCTCCCCAGCTGGCGCTCTGCACAGCCTGGGGGAGGGGTGTCCCTCTCAGTCTGAGTACCATTATTAGTGCCCCTTTGTCAGGAGATTAAAGGGACTGACCGCCTGGGAGATTAATCATTAGCCTCTAGCCAACCAGTCACCAAGACACCCAGGAAATGAAAGCCCATGAGAGACGCACTCTGCAATAAGGAAACAGGGAGTTTGTCACCCCGTGAGGGATGCCCGGGTAGCACCAGCGGGAGGGTCTGTTATCCACCTGGAGTGGTCTCAAGGAGGCCTACGGTCAACATTTCTTTTCCCCGTTGATGCCTGAAACCCTACCATTAACATTGGACAGGCCCTCAGAAATCTCGAGTTCAAGATTTTGATTTTCCTTCCCCCAGGTTGAGAAGCTAATGAAAGCAATGGCCCTTACCACCTGCACTGACAGGGTTATGTCCAATCTCAGGGAGTGCACGGACCCCCTCAGAAGCCCGTCCCCAGACACCAGGTTGAGAACCCTGGGCGGAGTTTACTGGCTCCAAAGTTTTTGTTCCCTTCAAACAAGCACACCCTGGAGCCCTCTTTAAAAGGCAAATGACCCTGGGAGGGTCAAAATGACAAACCAGCCAGCATGAAAGAGTTTTTTGCTAAGAGACTTTAATGGCAGGGTGAGGAAAGGAGAGCCTGCAGGGTGGGGAGGCTCCATGGGGGCTCACAGTGTGGCCTAGAACTGGGAAGGGATTGTATTGAGCCAAGAATGCTAATAGCTGCCTTTATAGAGCACTTACAAGAACCCTGTGAATTAAATGCTATCAACATCCCCATTCTACGGATAAGGAAACTGAGACTGGAAGAGATCAAGTGACAGGCTACCCCACTAGTGGCAGAGCCGGAGTTTGGACCCTCCATCAACCTGAGATCAGACTCCATCAGCAGCATAGGCTCTCCATCGCCTCACGACAAGGTATCCTTTTTTGATTTAACAGGAAACTGAGGCAGTTCACTGAGGGCTGCACTCACACAATGCCCTGCCTCCCCGGGGTACCCCTGTGTGTCCCCTCCTCACCCTGGACAACGGAGAGCGGGCAGCCCTTCACGACCCGCTCCCTGCAGCCCGGAGAAGGACTTGCCGAGAAGTCTGAAGAAAGCATCGCGCCCGACCTGTCCTCACTGCCCCTAATTGTTTTCTAAGATCCTTTCTATTGAGTTATCAGAGTGGAATGGAAGAGTCGATGAGAGTCGTGGCAGAGCTGCAAGGCCAGGGCTTGCTGGTGAAGGAAAGCAAAGCCCTAAAGGCTCCCTGGGCTGAGCGAAGGTATAAAATATGTATTTTTACATAACTGGGAGAAAAAAATAAACGGACAAGGTGGCCCCATGGGGGAGACGCCTCTTTCTGTATTTCCATTATCTTGTTTAATGCGCAGTCCAGCAGGAGCCTCAATGGAAAGGGAATACTGGATCCTCTTCCCTCCCTGCCTCCTGGTGGGTTAAGAGACAGAGAGAGCCAAGACGCAGAAGTCAAATGGCCTGGGCATGGACTCAGAAACCCATTAAAGCTGAGGGGACAGGTTCGGGGGGGTGGGGGAGGACTGACCTGAAACCGTGTCTTGGTTTGAGACAACGCCCCTCCTCTGGGGTTGAGAAAGTAGCCTCAACGGGGCTCAGGTTCACCTCCAGCTCTGGGTGAAATATTCTAAACGTGGGCTTCCCCATGAGGAAGGAGGAATGGGTGTGGTCCTTTCCAAGAACAACATCCACCCCGTTTACTGAGCAGTTGCTAGTAGACATCAAGTACTGTGCTTAGTGATTTTCTTGCATTAGCTCCTATCAACCCATTTATTCAGATGAGAACACTGACTTGCCCAAGCTCACACAGCGAGTAAGCAGCTGACTCCACACGCTGTTTTGTAGCCAAACCATGCAGAAGTGGCTGGCCCCTGGCAACCAGACAGGGAAGCTGTCTGACCTAATATTTGCATGTCTATTCTTTTTTTGATCCTAAAATTACTTTGCTGGGGACAGAATTCTCTAGAGAAGGTGGTGGTGGCTGTGGTGTGCTGTTAAGAGCCCCAATCTGGGGATCGGGAGACCTCGGGTTCTAGTCTTAGCTTTGATGTTGACTTCTATGTGACATTGAAAGAGTTATTTGCAAAGAACACGTCTGAGCGATCTCTAAAGGGTCTCTTCCAGATTATCATTACAAAACAGACTGAAAACTGCAGCTCCAGCTGGGGGACTGTCTGCGGCCCCATGAGGTGAAGCTAACAGAACAAAGGGACTCCGAATCAGAAGGAGGTGGGTTCCAGTCCTCCACCCCCTCTACTGGCCTCAAATTCTTTTTTTTTTAAAGATTTTATTTTTCATTTTTCTCCCAAAGCCCCCTGGCACATAGTCGTGTATTCTTAGTTGCAGATCCTTCTAGTTGTGGCATGTGGGACTCCGCCTCAGCATGGCTTGATGAGCGGCGCCTTGTCCGCGCCAGGATCCGAACCAGCGGAAACCCCGGGCCTGCAAAGCAGAGCGCAAACTTAACCACTTGGCCACAGAGCCGACCCCTGGAGGTGACTTTGAATGAGATGGTCAATGTCAAATACTTAGCACAGAGGATGGCACTATAACTTTCAATGCCCAGCACCCATTGTTACTGTTTTTATCCCTCACATCTGTACAGAGCTTTTTATATGGCAGGAAACATTGGTCTTATTGTATGGCAACCTCACAACACCATCAGGAGGCGTTTGTGATTATTCTTCTCATTTGGAAGGTGGAGAAACCAAGGCTTCAAAAGGTGGGTCCTACCCAGTGATCAGATCTGCAAACTCACTAACTGATGGAGACCTGCAGTTAAAAAGGCAGAACTAGATAAAGGGGAATGTTCTCCCCGCCCCTCCCCTTGGTGAGGAAGGTTGGCCCGGAGCTAACATCTGTTGCCAGTCTTTATTTTTTTGCTTGAAGAAGATTGGTCCTGAGCTAACATCTGTGCCAGTCTTCCTCTATTTTGCATGTGGGACGTTATCACAGCATGGCTTGATGAGAGGTGTGTATGTCCGAGATGGGGTGAACCTGCGAACCCCAGGCCACCAAAGCAGAGCAGCCGAACGCCACCGGCCTGGCCCCGGAAAAATTCTTTGTGCCTCCAGGTGTTAGTGAACCACTGCGAGGCTCGGATTCGACCCTGTTGGTAATAGTAATCGTGGCGCCCCTACACCTTAACCTGACTACCAACCTCCGGCCAGCGGGTCACTGGGCCGGCGGGAGGCAGGGGGCGGGATCATGGGAGGGCGGTCCGACCCCGCCCGTCGAGGGAGCGGAGGCCGCGCCGCTCATTGGCTGCGGCCGGCAGGTGCATCCTCGGCCAATCAGCGGAGCCGGGGCGGGGCCTTTGAGGCTCACCTGGCCCCGCGGCGCTGCCCAGCTCAGTGGCGTCCGGAGCCGCCGAGCACCTGTGAGTTCGCGGAAGTCCTGCTAGATTCCAGCCGGGCCCAGCCCGGCCGAACCCGACCCGACCCCCGCGCGGCCCGCCATGGGCCCTCCGTGCCGCAGCCTCTCCGCGCTCCTGCTGCTGCTGCAGGTATGTCGGGTCCCCTGTCCTTCAGCTCCACCAACCGCGCCCCGGCCCCGCGTGCCTTCCTCTCTCGTCGTCCCTTCCTGTCTCCTGCCGTCCCCTCTTCCACCAAGAAAGTTTGGGTCCAAAGAGCCTGAACGGCGGAAGCAGCGCCGCGCTCTGGGCTCCGCGGAGTTGGGGTGGGGGCGCGTGAAGGGCGAGCGCCACTCTGCCCACTTCCCCCCCCCCCCCCCCGCAGACGCCCGAGGGGGCGCGCGCCTCGCTGCAGGCGCTGGCACTCCGGTTGGCCGGGGTGTGGGCTGGGGGCGGACGGTCGGGAGCGTGGAGCAGGGTGGGGGTCGGGATAGGGAAACGGGGAGCCCCAGTGCAAGTCAAGGGGGATCTAGGGGTACTGGGGTCGATCCTTGAGGTCAGGAAAGGGGAACCAATAGAAATAAAGGCAGCTGCCATGTAAAGAGAGGGTAGTAAACAGGTATGGGGGCGCCCCTGGGGTAAGAAAGTGGGGTCAAAAGGGGTTGGAGCATCCCTGAGTATGAGGAACTAGACTTAGGAGTGGGAGCGTTCCCGGCGTAAGGAAATTGGAGTTGAGAAGAGGAAAGATGCCTCCACGAAAGTATAAAGCAGACAGGAAGGAGAAGTGCTAGGTCAGGAGGGGTGACCAGCAGCCCCCTCTCCTAGGGGAGTTCCCGGGGGCCTGGCGGCCGCAGGTTTCAGGACAGAAGAGTTTGGCGTTGCTGCCTGCCCCGGGGGTGGGGTGGGTCCTTCCCACCATCCCGACGCCGGGAGCGAGGGAGTGGCGGCGCTGTTGGTTTCGGTGTGGGCAGGAGGGGAACCCGCCCCCCCAGCTCACCCCTATTCCCTACCTTTCCCCTCCCCCAGGTCTCTTCGCGGCTCTGCCAGGAGCCGGAGCCCTGCCGTCCCGGCTTTGGTGCCCAGAGCTACACGTTCACGGTGCCCCGGCGGCACTTGGAGAGGGGCCGAGTCCTGGGCAGAGGTGAGAGCGCGCCGGCCGTGTGCTGAGCCGGGTGCGGCGGGAGTCGGAAGTGTCTGAGAAATTGCGCTCCCCCGCCCCTGGGCTGAACTGGGCAAGCCCTCCTTCTCTGAGTTCAAATGACACCCCGCCGGAATTTTCACAGGTGTAAAGATCGACGCTTTGACCAGGACTGAGCGCTGTGGGTGGGGGCTGTCCTTGTATGGTTATGTTATAAGGAGGGAGCACTTATTACAGGCCTTCAGTGTGTCTCATACTGTCCTGACCACTTTAGAGACAGTCTGTCATTTCCGACTGCAAAAATCTGATGTATGGGAAAGGGGTGGGGGGCGGTTATTCCTGTTTCAAGGATGAGCAAAAGGAGGCTCAGAGGGTGGAGTCCCCTTGCTCAGGGTCAGCAGAGCAGGAGTTTGAACGAGGACCTAACAGCCAGGCCCGGTTCTGCAGCATCTGGGGAGCCCTCTCTTGGTTACCAGGCTGTGGCTATTGCTCACAGAAATGAAAACGTTTGATACAGGTCCTATTCCCCCAGGGAATGATGGTTTTTAAAAAAAAGCCTGGTAGCTCTGACTCACGTAATGAAAACGCACACAAGGTACTTGTGGGCCTTATCACGGCGATAATCAGGATTCTGGGTTCAGGATTCTTTGTTTCGCTTCTCGGTGGCCCAGGAGTGAGAGCAAAGTAAGGCTGGTTGCTTTCTCTTTTGGCTTCACTGATTCCCAGGTGCCTATTTCCTACCAACTGACTTTCTCCTCCCTCTTGATTTTAGTTGGTTGGGAGAGTATCATAGCAATAAAAGAAACACTTTTTAAAACGAGAAATCACCCACAGTTCCTCTGAGGGCACTCACTGAGTAGATTCTTCCAGTCTTGGGCCACGTGAGAAATCAGCAGCAATCACGCTGTTGTCTGAAATTTTTTTTTGAACTTTGGAAGTTGTTCCAACAGTGGGCGGCATTTTTTTTTTTTTTAAACAGAAACTGCAGCTTGATTGATTAAACATATTTGCTTTTCTGAGGCCGGTCTGTGTCGTGTGGAACTTTCGATTGGGTCAGAAAGGACATGCTGTCTGCCCGGTTGTGCAATGGGTCTGCCATTATTCGACCAGTTCTCTGCTTGATATTCTGCCCGGCCCTGTGCTGGGCACCCGGGAGTGGACTGGGGAGATAAGGGACACTCCAGCCCTGGCCTTGGTGTTTCCTGTTCCAGTAGGTTGCTGGGAATGTCCCAGAACCCACTTAGAGGGCACTGTGGGGCATGGGCATTTAGATGCCAAGAGTGTGGGTTGCCTGGGATGGTTTGATGGATATCAGTGGGTGGTAGGGACTGGCTTCTGGGAGGAGGCAAAGTGGACCCAGCCTTGAAAAGCAGGTGAGGGTTAGAAGCGGGAGTGTGTGTGCGCGTGTGTGGATGAGGTGTCCCATGCAAGTTCTGGTCATTTTGTTTTCTTGCACCAAGACATTTGGTGGTACCAAGGGAAGGGTTAGTCTGGTTTTTCTTCCTTTCCTCAAGCTCTTGTGTCTGACCAATAATAATATTATTTTACATATTAATAATAATAGAAATATTATCATTAACAGCAGTACCTATTATTTGCTTTTGAACTAGACTCTAGGGCAAGTGTTTCACGTATTTTACCTCTTTTCATCTTCCCAAGGACCTTATAAAAGGGGGCACCATTGCTGTTTCTGTTTTGCGGGTGAGGGAACTGAAGCATAAAGCAGGTTAGTAATCTACCCAGGGATCCACAGCTGGTCTTTCTCCTGCTCTCTCCGCTTCTCAATAATCAATCTCAAGAAAAGAAAGAGGATGTTTGGGGGATTCGTGTCCATCGTGAAGTAGACCTTGTCCTCCCTGCATGCCTGGGAGAGGAGATGTGTAGATGGGGAGAGGAGGTGGTGGTGATGGAGACGGGTTAGACCAGGTGGGAGGCGGAGCGTGGGGGAAGGCCTGCGGCTGGTGGTCTTGGTGGGAGAGGTGGCCTCCTCAAGGCTGTTTGTGTAGCTGGCTCCAGCTCCCTTTAGGTCCGCAGACCCGTCCCCATTCTTTCCTGACATGTGGCATCGCCCCAGGATGGAAGTGCTCTTCTGGGAAGATCACACGTGTAACCTTAGGGAACTGGCTTTGTGATTAAGAAGGCAGCCAGGATTTAGGGAGGTGGCCTCACTCTGTTTGGACGGTCCAGGAGAACGGAGGGATGCCACGTTAGCACCAGGTTTAAACGTTGGCCCCATGGAGAATTGGCTGCATGGGAGTTTGAAAACAAGGAACCTGTCACTTTTTGTCACCGGTGGCTGTAGAATGTCACAAATAGGGGTTGACTGAACTCAGGGGACCTTGAGGTGGTTTGGAGGGGCTGGGCTGTTCCTGTGCCCCGAGAGATGGCTGACCCCACAATCTCAGCCTTGTATTTATTCCATTGGTTTCTCTCCAGATTCTAGAATGAAGAATTTTTTTTAAAAAAACCTGTAAGCTGGGGCCGGGCCCAGTAGCGCAGCAGTTCAGTGCGCACGTTCTGCTTTGGCCGCCCGGGGTTCACCGATTCAGATCCCAGGTGCAGACCTAGCACCACTTGGCAAGCCGTGCTGTGGTGGGCGTCCCACATATAAAGTAGAGGAAGATGGGCACGGATGTTAGCTCAGGGCCAGTCTTCCTCAGCAAAAAGAGGAGGATTGGCAGCAGATGTTAGCAGGGCTAATCTTCCTCAAACAAAACAAAACAACCTGTAAACTGGTTTTTTAGAGTTTCTAATTATTTTCCTCTTTCTTAACACAAACTGGTTTGAGAAACCCGGGCTATTAGGCAGTTTGGGGTTCTGTAGTGTTAGCTCAGTACACTCAGTTTTAAGTTGACTGGGGAGTGGGAAAATAAAGTGGGCAGGCTTTTAAACAGATGGCTTCCAGGCTTTGCTTCCTCCAACACCTGGCCTTGAGCAAACAAGGCTTGTACCTTAGGTCTGAGCTCTGGCTGTCTGATGGATCGACCAGGCTCACAGTTACTCGCCTGTATGGGTTAAATCACCATTTCCTCCTCTTTCTAAAAGACCTGCTGAAACGTGGAAACAGTATGCAGGCCTCCTAATAAACTGGGCTTTAGACAAACAAATACGGAAGCCTGCTTTGGGATCACCTTACACGATCTGAGCCCCACTCCCCCACCCCTCAAACTCCTAAACGTCACTTCTCCATTACTCATGGCTGTGACAAGGGTTTAAGCAGGGCTCACTGGGGAAGGACACTAACAGGTCATCCTCCTGCCCTTGCCTTTGTGTCTCAGGAGGAGCAGAGGGGGAAACCTCCTGAGCCCTGCAAGGCCAATTAAGGAAGGTTGGCTGTGGCTCCTTGCCCGTGGGGCCCGCTGGGCCTGCCTCTGCCAGGTGGTTATGGAAGTCCCGGTTTGCTCTCCCAGCCTTTTCATTGGGTGAGCCTTTTCTTCTGAAATGCTCACCTAGGTGTCTGTTACACATTCCCTTCCAAGCATAGCCCCAGATAAGCCAGACGCTGAAGCAATCAGCTCTCACATCTCCCAGAAGCTGCCAAAACCCTAAAATCCCCAAGAGGCAGCTGTCATCACCCAGGCTTTCTGGGTTTCCATTCTGCCTCAACCCCCACGTCCTTTCAGGGCTTTCGGCTTTCTAGAATGGGAATGAACTCAGTATAGAGCTGGTCGGGGTAGGTCCGTGAGTAAATACATGAGAGATCCAGGTTTGAATTTCAGCTACTAGCTACGTGCCCTTGGGTAAATCACTTTACTTCTATGAGCCTCAGTTTCCCCATGTGTAAAAGGGGGGACAATACTTAGAGGTTTGTTGTGAGAACTAAGTGTGCATATTCGTTTATTTGTTTAGTCAACAAATAGGAGCACCAGCCCTGGGCGGGACCCTGGGGTCACAGTAATGAATAAAGCAGACATGGGCTGAACGTAAAGCAAGTGAGACAGAAGAATGGAAAGAAACAGGGGAGTCATTAAATGGTGGCTTATATTTCTTAGGGTCAGAGGAGGTACTCAGATACCGTTTTGAACCAGTGAGTGAGTGAATGAATGAGTGAATATTTGCTACCACTCATACCTTGGCTCATTTTTTTCCTCTCACTCTGTGGCCTCAACTCAGCCCCTGATGTTGATTGTAAGCCGGCAGGGAAGAGTTGGGTCTGTTAGAACTTCCTAAGATGCTGGTGAGGGCTGCGTGCCCAGTCCGTGGCTCTTGAAGCCGGGCTGAGTGTGTTGGGGGCTACAGCGTACTAAGTGCTCCCCTCTCAAAGCTCCGGAGGTCAGAGAAGGAGACCTCAGACTTGAATCGGGAAATGGAAGGGCAGCTGGTCATTTGTAAGTGGTGTTCAAGTTTGGTCAATTAAAAAGAAATTTGTGGTGGCCTCTCTCTCTCCCTCACTAATTTAGTTGCCCTTTTATATCCCTCAGCTTGTGCTTGCTGCTGTTGGGAGGGCTTTGGGCCTCCCCTCTTTCTGCTCTTCCCCTCTTCCTTTTCCTTTCTCTTAGCTACCTCCAATCCTCCACTTCCCCCCAAGGCCCTGGTGGCATCTTCCCAGGCTTTAGAAGGTTCTTGAGTCAGACTGAACCAGGTGAGGGACAGCCAAGGGACATTAACCAAGGACTTTCTAAACCTTAGTTTCCCCTTCTGTAAAATGGGCATAATAGCACCCAAGTCGTGGGGTATGTCAAGTGCTCAGTGGATATGGAATATTAAAGTGCCTGGAGTATGCGTTGCCTTCTGTTTGAGACTCGCCTGGATTTTCCCTTTGGTTCAGACATTTCCCTGGGCTCCCTCCCACCCAGCAAACCAGCCAAACCAGTTTCCTCGCTCTCCCTGCTTCTGTGTTAAATAAAGCAAACACCGCTCTGCAAACAGTGACTAGCCCAAAGTGCCCTTTGCTAGGAAAGGAAGTTCTGTGGCGTTTTCTTGCTTGCCACTGTGCGGTCGGCTTGGGTTGGGCTGGAGTGGGTTTGCCAGGGGACCTGCTCGTGCATACTGTTTAGAATTGG